AAAGGCTAGAATTCAAATGCAGTCTACAAGATCCACAGTCTGAATAACTATAAAATGGAAACCAAAACATTCCTACTATTTTATCCAGTGTAGTCCAGCAGGAGATCTTTTTAATATCTTTGCCAAAACTGGCACTGGCATGATGTTGCCAAGTATTCCCTGATCTGAATAGCCAAAAGTCTCAAAATGGCCTCACTGTACATTTTTCTCATCCCCAACTGTAAGCCCTGCATACAGTTGCCCTCTCACCACCAGAATCACACTCAGTAAAATAAATTTATCTTCCTTTTGTGCACTACCGAACCAAATTTCCTCTTGCCCGTATGGTGTGTGTGTGTGTTTAAATAACAATCTGATAAAAGCAATCTAATAAAATGAATTTGTCTAAAGTAAAAAGTTTATTGTAGAAATTTTATAAGGAAATATATGCTAAATCCAAAGGTAGTAACTGTTAGCATTTTGGTATCTTATTTTAAATATTTTAAAGCAGCATATCTTTCTTTCTATAACCTTTAAAAATAGAAAATGTCAGAATAAAGAACTCAACTGACATAAAGGTAGAATTTCAAGATATGTGACATGATAAAGTAGAAATTTAGAGGTAGCAAAGGAACTGCCCCACTCCACCCCAGTCAATAAATCTTGTTGTTTTTATTTTTTTTGGTTGGGGGAATGCTATTATAGAAACCCTTAAAACGGTCACGAATTGTTATTTACTCTGATCATTGCTGGGTCACCCTCTCCCAGAATCAGAATCCTGGAATAATCTTGGCAAATCACTTGAATAATGGCCAATTCCTACAGTTGAACACACACACACAACATCATTTGAAATCCAAAGAGCTTCTGGTTCATTAATCATTTTATGTTCCAATCTACTGTCCTACCTAAAAGATTTGGCAGAATAGCAGCAAAGAGCATAATTTCATCATTCTCATCAATTTAATGAAGTGAGGAGAATGCTTCCCATTCTGCCCATATTCCAACCTAGCTTCCTTGTTTTAGTTTTTTTGGAGGGATATAAATCATGCATTTGTCCCTATAATAAATCTTCAATAGAAAAGAATAATTATGCACAAAGTAAATAATTCATATTTTTATCTAGGTAATAATCATAGACTCGGATAGGAAGAGTAATAATACTTTACAGTTAGATAGGAAAACTATGTAGAGTTTTAGTACTTCCTCTGAGTAATTAGTAGAATTAGAAATAAATTCTAGTAATTTATCTATATAATTCTGCTGATTTCCTTGGGCAACTTAATTTTAGTTCTGAGTTTCAATCAAGAGGAACGGAGCACTGTGTTTCATAAAGAAAATAGGCTCTGAATATCTTTTTGGTAGTCAAAAAAATGCATAATACAAAGGATAAAATCTATCTACTGTTGAAACTTTTTGTTATGGAAGAAGTGCATCATTCTAAGATCGATATCAAGTAAAGTTTAAATCCAGTCTTTTCTATACTAGTATGGCACAGTAAAAGGAACAACGGTTTTTAAGACAGCAAGTAGAGCTGGCATCATCTTGTTTCTGCTACGTTCCTTAAGACAATACATTGAATTTCTTTTGAGCCTCCTTTAATTTATAAAAGAGATACACTATTCTCTGCCTTACAGGGCTCTTATAATAAGTGTAACAATTTACACTACACGATTTACACAAAAGCATATGGTAAACTGAAAGATGTGTTTATACAGTTGCTAGTTTTTATCACAACAGTTTGGTTTTTTTTTCTTTTAAAGGAGGCTCAAAAGATTTCCTCCAATCAGAACAGGTTGAGGCCAAAAGGCCTTCCTGGGCCAGGGCAGGTGGCCTCAAAGAGCAGACCCAGTCCAACCACAGGAAGAGAGATTGATTGGAATGGCAGTTGTGTGTAGGTCCTTAGAAGCTCTGTGAAGTTCCAGTCAGCCATGCCTTGAATCCAGTTAATATTTCGGTTTAAAATAGGGCATTTTATATGAAGTTCTATTTTCATTTCAATAGACTGTTTAATTCTTAAAGTTTTGAAAATCCAAGTAAGTTAACCAGAATAAGAAATGAAAGGCATGGCTGATGAATCAAAGTGAGACAAAAAGACTATCACGACCACTGAAAGATAGGGTTGAGTAGATATGTAAATAAAAATGATTAAGATCGACAACAAGGGGTAGGAAAGTGGAAATATTACATTGAAAGAAAAGGAAACAGAGAGCAATGCCAACCTTAGGGATAAGATAGGCCCGGAGAACTCTGAGGCAGGCAGAGAGAGATGCTAAAATAGTAAAACAAGCCACAAATCACAATATACAATATTAACAAAAGAAACTCTTTAACATAAAATGACTTTTACTATTATGGAAGCATCAGCTGGTAGGAAAGCTTTCAAGGGATTTTTGGAAGGTTGCTTTCATTGGAGGCAAAAAGCGATTATTCAAAATATTTAAATTTGAACATATTTTGAAACATAGCCTTCCATAGGTGACATTTAAAACACCGCCTCCCAACCAGTCAGTAACTTATGGAGAACCCCAAATCAGTCCTGTGCAGAAACGTCCTCAAGAGTGGGCCGCGGACACTGCACATCAAACTTTCTCTTTTGGCTGTCCGCAGGAACAAAGTGCCCATCTGACTAGGGATGAGAGAGCGGCGCGACCCTCGTGTCAGACAGACCCTCAGCGAAAGCTCCACCTCCCCAGCCCCGGCGTCTCCAGACCCCACAGAGGCGTCTCCAGTCTCCACCCAGGCCAGGTCGCCACTGCAAGTCCAGCCCTCTCTCCCTCAAGGCAACCCTCCAGGTCACCGCAGTCCTAACTCAGTTTCGCAGGCCGCCGCCGCCGCCAACGCGAAGCTTCATTCATTGACCTGGGCGGAAGGGCGGTGGGCGAGACCCAGCCCGAGCAAGGGGTGTACAAGGTTCGAGGCGGGGACCCCGGGGCAGGTGCTTACTCTGGGTGTCCGTTAAGGAGATCATGACTGCAGCGGTGAGGGCAACGACGACAGCACCTCGAGGAGGCCAGGGTGTGAAGCAAAGTCGAGAGTAATGAAGCCTGGAAACAGCTCAGGCAAGAGCCGCCACGTCTTCCGGAAACACGCAGCCACCCCACCCCAGCTTCAAGACTAATTCCCATTGGCTAAACCCGCTCCCAATATCAACCAATAACCTATAGTCTTGTTCGGTGACGCGCTGCTGGCCACACCCCTTGACCAATTAGAGAAAGATGTTACTTGCAATTGGTTGAACGGACCGACCCGGAAGGGTGGATGCTCCTGGCTCGGGAAAAAGGAGAGGCTGTTGGCGGGAAGTTTTTATTGGAGGACAGCTGAAAGCCGTGAGTAGAGGTTCTGAGTTTGGGGCACTTTGGAGTCTGAGACTGAGCATACCGGGGAGGCCAGGGTCGCGGGGCGTCTTTGATTCTTTTGTGGAGACGTTCTGGGATAACTCCTGTTACCATTTTGAAAGGGCTGATTCTTTTCCTGTCTGACCGCGGGGTCGCTCTTTAGCAGATCACTTCCTTCCACCAAAACATTGGCAGGGGAGAAACAAGGGCGTTAATCATCGCCCAGCTCTAATGGCCTAACTTGGGCCTACAGGGGCACGTTCATTTGCCAACCAGTTTTTTTTTTTTTTTTCATCGCCAGCCTTTTCCATGCAGGATGCCCTGTCACCAAAACCCGTTTATGGGCAACAACCATTTATTGGGAAGCCACTGGGGATATCCAAGCGTAAGGGAAAGTATTATTAAATTACCGTTGCCTCTAAACGCAGGTGGCGGGAAGAGGGGGGACATGTGTCTTATTTAACTTGTGGTATCTCAGTGACATTTCCTCTGGCATTGATGACTGAGTGTGACACTAAAATATTTCCTGTGGATGCTGTCAAAAATTCAGAAACAGTAGAAATAAAACCAAGGAATCACGGAAGTAGTAATTAGTGAAGATTCAAAGAGACAGTTCTCGAACCGGGAGCACTCAAACTAATGAGGCTCAGGGGTATATTGTTAAAGCAGCTTATACAGTGAGAAGGCAGTGGCTGCCTTCATAGTGATTGGTTATAGGATTAACATTTTCTTAAATGATAGGGAATTGATTAGTTGTTATCTCGGATCAACCTTGGGAGATGGTTTAATTTTTCACTTATGATTTCCAGAGGCATAAATGAGAAACACCCCAGGTTAAGTTGGTTTTTACAAAACAAGCTAAATTAAGCTTTGCTTGCTTGACTAAACTGGTTTTGTCTGCTCAGAGTTTTCAAGGCTAGTCTCTGTTTTTGATTTTAACAGTGCCTAACTATACTTCAGACTGACTATACTTAAGACTGACCTGCTATAGCTCAATTTCTGAAGATATTTTATATTGAGATATCTTAATATTAAATCATGTTATTTGGAGAAGGAATTTATGAGCGGTTTTTAAACAGTATATTCAAAGAAGTAAACCCCAGATAGTAGGAGGAAATGGTTATAGATTATATTCTTTCACAAAGTCAGAGTTAACCCTTGCTTTCAATCTCAGCAAACCAGATTCTGCACTGTTTGCAAGGCACTTTGCTAGGCTACATGAATACAGAGCTGAAGAGACTCAACCCCTTCCCTGTGGGAGAACCTTACAGTCTAGAGAAGGAGAACTGTATATCCTTGAAGTGAAGAAATGTTTATGAAGATAAAGAATTAGAAGTCCTTGGTTTACTCTACTTAAATATCTTTTAGTGATATGGCTATTCCAAACTCCTTAGCAAGATAAAGAAGACCCTGCCTGTCTTTCCAGCCTAGTCGTGGCTTCAGAATTCTACATTAGGAAGAGCATAAAGTTGGCAGTCTGGGTAAGGGCGGGAGCATGATGAAGCTACCTTTGGGGAACATTCTAAATTAGTTTTAGAAAATGTTGACTGCCCATATCACAATTAGGAGAGGTGTTCATGGGGATTATGGGAAATATAAAGTTTCTACCCTCAAGCCTCATCTACTTCCATTTGCTCCTATGTACTCTTATTTCAGTCATTCATAGGTATTTTAGAGTTCCTTTATAAAACTATGTTTCCCCCCTCCCACTTCTGATCTTTTCAGGTTCTCTCTTTCTGAAATTTAACGCCCCCCCAGACTATAATTTCTTTAAGATTAAACCTTAATTGTAACACTTTAAAGCAAGTATTGAATAAAATGTCAAATGATTAATTTGAATATTTATGTTGATGGATTTCGCTTAACCTGGGATATTTGAATCTATCCAATTTGGTATTTATAAGATAGGTTCTATCATCCAAATTTTACAAGTTGGGGAAAAGGCTGAGAGGAACAGGGTATTAAACTTTGCTGAAATCACAATAATTTAGTGCTATAACTTTTTAACTTCAAATCTTTGCTCTTTTTTGCTACATCACTTTGTATCTGGTAGATGTTTGTTAAGTGTTATTGACATTGTACTTGTTATTATATGTCTATGTGACTTTGGATACCTGTCCGAAATCTAAAGAACTTTCATAAAAGTTAATGTGGTAAGAACCATGTAATCTTTGTTTAAAAGGTCACTGCAATATATAATTTCTAACTTTTTTCGTGCTTAGTCATGACACACTATCATTGACTGGGCGTAATAGTACTGTTTAAAAAAATTGTTGCTCTGATTTTTTATTTCATTTTTAGAAAGAAATTTGGATCTCCAATTCAATTCTAGAATGGCATCTATTTCAGGTTAGTGGAAATGATTACATTTTGTTCATTCTGTTCTAGTTCTAATTGCATGGTCTTTGAAAAAAAAATACCTGTTTTTCTCTCTATCTTCCCCTCAACTTTTCTGTGAACCTTAAATTTCTCTAAATAAAAGTCTTAATAAAAATAAATTTTAAAGATATTTGTTTTAAAAATTCTGGTTATAGAAGTGCTGTTTTTTCAAATTTTTAAAAATTATAGTAAGTATACATTACAAAATTTACTATTTTAGCTATTTTTAAGTATATAATTCAGTGGCATTTACATTGTTGTGCATCTATCACCAATATCCATCTCCAGAACTTTTTCATCTCCCCAGACTGAAACTCTGTCTCCATTAAACAACAACTCCTGATTATCCCCTTCCCAGCAACCACTGGCAACACTTCTGCTTTCTGGCTCTATGAATTTGACTATTCTAGGTACTTTAGTTAATACATATTCATACCATATTTGTATTTTGTGTCTAGATTATTTCACTTAGTGTAATGTCTTTGAGGTTCATCCATTTGTAATATATCTTTTTAAGGCTGAATAATATTTTCATTGTATGTATATACCACCTTTTGATTATCCATTTGTCCGTCAGTGGACATTTGGCTTGTACCTTTTGGTTATTGTGAATAATGTTGTTATGAACATTGCTGTACAAATATCTGGGTCCTTGCTTTCAATTCTCTTAAGTATGTACCTAGAAATGGAATTGCTGAGTCATATGGTATTTCAGTGTTTAATAGAAATTGTCATACTGTTTTCCATAGTGGTATACCATTTTATATTCCCACCAGCAATGCATTAGGGTTCCAAGGAGAATATGTTTTTTTTTTTTTTTATAGAATTCTAGGAACTTAAAAGTTATAAAGTAAAAAATTTAAATCACTTCTAATCTTACTGTTCAGATTAATACTGTAACATTTAATTTATTATTTTTAAACAAAATTTTTAACATTTTGTACATATTGTTTTGTAACATGTTATTAAAAACAATGTAAATGTAGAATATAGACATTGTTAAATAAATTCTTTGTTGTAAATATTCTAATATGTGCACTGTATTTTGTTATTTCGAAGTGACATTAAATAATACCACTTAATCTTTTAGCGTTAAACTCTTATGCAGTTTTCATTTTTAAAACAACAAAAAAATATACTGCCTCGAATATCTTTGAATTGAAAGCTTTGTGTGCTTCTCTGATTATTTCCTTAAGAAATAATATATATCCCTATAAATGGAGTTATTTGAAATGTTTTTAAAGTGCAAAGGAAAAACATCCATTCTGTCTTTCCCAGGCATATAGTCTTGGTATGTCTGTGTGTTTCCATCCATTATTTGTTTCTATAACTTGATCAGATTGTACTGTGCTTATTAGTGAGATCTTGCTATCTATTCGATTAAGAGGCGGATGGCAGGGGTTAGGAACTTATAGTTATTTTTCAGTCTTTTTTAGGAATTAGTGAATATGACCTTTGCTTCATACTAGCTCTAATAGGAGGTGAAAAGATTCAGTTCTTTTCAAACTTTAAATAAATGATTTTTTTAATATGAGACCCTCTTGCCCCCATCCCCACAACTTTAGAATTTATTTAAATATTAATATAAAAAAGCGTGACATAAGTTTTGGCTATGACTCATGCTCACAGTCTGAGGATTAACACTAAGTGGTAACAATTTAAATTATATTAGATGCTAACTCAAGCAGTCTTTACTTAGAGATTAAAATGAGGATTTAAGAGATGTTACTGAACTTCAACTCAGTTTAGTGTGGTCCTTTTTGGATTGCATATATTATTCTACTTGATAAGACTTCAAGCTTTATTAGTGGGATATGATTTCAAAATAACCGAACAATGAAAAACATTTTATTTAAAAGATGCTTTTAATAATTTCTTCCATAATATTGTACCTCTTTCAAATAAATTTACCTCTTCTACCCACTTGTTGAACTATATTTGAAATGCCTCTTTGAAGTTGCCTTCAGACAGTTTGTTGCTTTGTATTAGATGGCTTCCATGATGGCAAATCACTTTCCTTTCAGTGTTAACTTCAGTTTTGGATGTTACTAGAAAATGTCCTGTTTCTGAAGAATGGTACCTCCCATGCATCAGCTGTAAGCTTAGGAATACTGAAGTGTGATCCTAACTCAGTTCATTGTGCTCTTTAGATATAGCTGCTCTAATAAGCCCTGTGTACTTGTAATTCCTGTTCATTATGGATTGTCAAAATCATTCACTTGACTTTTCAATCTCATCTTCTGTGGTAAAAGTCTCATGTTGTACATGCCAGCATTGGAGATGGTATAATTTTGAACAAAAACATTAACGTGCCCTGATTTATTACAGCTAGCTCTACTTATATTCTTAGTCAATCAGGATTTGGCTATGGTACAAAGATACTGACTTTGTAGCGCGGGTTGACATTAACATCTCTGTCAGGTAGGATTTGATCAAGAGGCACTGAGTGATATAGGGAATTTGCTATAGGGATTAACCCTTATGTGATTATGGGAAGTGGTTAAGCTTTTTATGTACATTGCCTGTGTGTCTGGTACTGGGCCTGAAGTTGGGAGAGCCAGCAGTTGAGAAAAGAATATGAATATGTGGTGGAGAATGCAAAAAGATCTGCTACTTGTTTGATGAATTTCTGTTTCTTACCAGAACCTGTATTAGTCTCTCATTGCCTCAAAGCCTTCAACTTGGATGATGCAGGAGACATGTCAAAGAGCTGTTGTACTTCACGTGGAGTTGCATGAAACTGGCTGAGGGTTCAGAGAAGCTGAAGGAGGAGAACTAACAGAATCTGGAGGAGCCGCAGGCCCTGCTGTTTCCCCAAGGATATCTAGAAGCAGCTGGAGTTGTGGGACCAGCTGCTGCCCCATGCCAATGAGGTCACCAGCCCTGACATTCTTAAATATGAAAAATAGGGCCATTGCTTCACTCTTGTCTTCCAAATTCCTGGCAGAGTTTTCTTTGCCTTGACTTAGAACTATGCAGGGAAGGAATTCTGGGAAATGTAGTTCTAGCTTAGCTAAATTATCACAGTACAAAGCCACCAGACTTCCTTCTTGCTACCTGGCACCCATAGCCCGTAGACTCCTCTTTTAATTTAATCATATTTACTTTCCAAATAAAGGAAATAGTAAAATCTGCTTCTGCCTATTATGATGCAGCTATCCCTCATACAACTACATATACACTGATCCTCTCCCTGAAAGAGGGCACAAATTCTCTATTCATCTTTTGGTGATGCTTATTCTTTTTTCTGAATCATATCCTCCTTGATAATCCTCTAACCTAAATCCTGAGATATGAAGTTAGCTACTGTAAACACATTTTATTTTAGATTTTAGAGGAATAGGAGAAGGGACAAAAAACAAAAACCCACCAAGGACAAAAAAGCTAAACTTGGTTTATATACAAATATCAGAATAAGGAAGAAATGTGTATAGGTATTACAGTTCTTGTTTCTCGCGTAGTCATATGGTCATAGCTGTAATTTTAAAAGTACCTTCTTCAACTGTCCATTTCATATCCCTTTGCTCTCAGCTACCACCTCACCTAGTAATGGATCCTTATCTGGTGGGGACTTGCCTTAGTAGTTTGCCCATGTTTGTTTTTTGTAGTTTTCCATTAACTTTAGTCACAGGACATTGGAATACCAAAAGGTACCCCAAAGTGTCCCCTACATTCTAGATACACTCTTCATTATCTCTGTAGTCTCATAGCAGTCCAGTTTCCCTTTAAGTCAGGATCACTCACCTCAGCCAGCACAGTAACACTTCTTTGCCTATTGATTTACTGGCATGCGGAAAGTGGCCAAGAAGCAGTCACCTTCCAGTTGCTGAATATATCTGCTCTAGTTACACATTATGGAACTGGGGACATAACCACAAAGTGGGTTAGAGGACCTCCTGAGCCCACTGTGAGATGGATCTGAGCCTAAACTGCCCTGACCACCTTGCTTGCATAAGTTCAGGCCATACTCTGGTGGATCAGCATGGCATTTTAGTTCTCCAGGAATTACCAGCTCAGAAGTAATGTCTGGTAATTTCTGAGAAGTTATTTTCCTTTTCCCAATACACAATTATCCTGATAATGTTTATCTGGAGGAGACTTGTGGAAAGCTTTACTGCATAGGTTTTTAGATGTGTAAGTAGAGTCTTTCCTCAACCTTCACTTTATTCAGGGGTCTCTGGGCCTATAAATTGGCTCGTGTCTGGGAATTGATTGAAGGACTGTGACTATGTTGTGATGATTCAAATCAGACTTATGTTTACCAGAATGAGGACTTTGTAATCTACCTATGCAAATAACTTATTTTCATATCAAGAATATGATCAGCTCACCAATGCCAAAGATCTCTGTGGGTCTGACTTCTGATGATTGCTTTTGCTCTGTTGTCCATTATGGCAACTACATCTGCCTTTTCTTTGGTCATGAATTGCCACTATTTAGCCCTTGTATCTTAGAATCCATTCTTCTTATTGATTTGGGTAGTCTAGTTCAAAGGTAGTACTTCTGTTGTTCCTGGCTTACAGAGAACAGCCACTCAAGATCTCAGCAATGCTGAGGCTCCCCTAATTAAAGTATGTCTTGTAGTCTTGATGAAGGGAGTGTACTCTGGATCATCTAGGGGACAGCAAGAGAATGGATGGATGATCAATCCACTTGGTAATCTACTCCGGCACTCCCATTCCTTCAAGCCTCTGTATTCCTTCTTTTTAAGTATACCCAGGAAGTTCTAACCCTTCGACTTCATTGGAATCTACACTTGTGTCATTCTATACAACTTTGTGATGTTCATCTTTAGGGCCTGGTTTCTGGCAACCATCTAAAGAGCTGGTCCTGGCCACTGCTTTAGCACACTAAATCCAGAATTTCTTACTGAGTCCAGACCAACAAATTTAGCTTCATTCAATATTCTGTCCACCCCGATTTAGTACCTTTTGGATCTATTCCTGTATATATTCCCTACATTTCTGGTGATATATATTGGCAAATGCAGCTCTTTTGGTGTGTTTTGTGTCTTCTCATGTGTCATACTTTTGTACCTCATCTTCTAGAGCTTTCTTGAAGCACTGAGAGATGGGGGTGGGGGTGTGATTCTTAGGAAGATTAGCAATCTCTCATAAGGCACCTACCTCAGGAAAGACCATTACAGGTATTTTAGGCAGGAGAAGGCTGTTTCAGAAAGGGGAGGAAAGGTAAAAGACACTTGGCAGAATTTAATGACTCAAGGTCCCTGCTTCATGGGAATCTGCCCAGATGTTCCCATCCTAATTTTAGTCTCACTCCTTCCTAATCAATGTTGTGACTTCAATATAAGTTTCTGCAAAGTCAGGAATTTAATTTGCACTGTATTTCAGCCACCTGCAGGATTTAGACTTTGGGTTTGTATTCAGTAATCTTGGTCTTGTAGCTACTGGAGATAAAATTTCTTTTAGGATAATCAGAAACTTCGAAGTCCTTTTATACAAATCCTGCACTTCTCAATTTCTCCAGCATACTTTGAAGCAACCAATTAACCCCATTATTTTCACCAAAATCTGTGACAGGAAATATTTGGTCACCCAGAGTCTGTCCTCTAGATACTTAATTACTGCTGTCTATAGATTATAATTTAAATAACTTTACTACATGCCATGGAATAGCATTCTCACTTTTATCACTGCAGGCAAGGATCATTAATATCTTTAATCAAATCAGAGACCCAATTCCAGGTGGCCTAGAAGCAATTCAGAGAACCGACCTTTAAGTTTCTGTTTATCTGGAACAGCACTGGATGTTGGTTAGAGTTCAGTCTGATATAAGGGATTTATTATAGGGATTAGTCTTCACATGATCATGGGAGCTGGTTAAGCAGTCTTGCTGGTTGTGAAGTCAGTAAGGCCAGCCTTAGGGATGGGGAGATAGATGTGACGTATGAGCGGGTAATGATGAGCTGAAACCTGCAAGGACAAAGTGGAACCATCCATTTCTCACTTGGACTCATTTTGGTGTGTCATTGCCTACAAGGCTCTAACTTCCATAATGTAAGCCGGTGCCCGGAGAAGAGCTGAAGTTACACATGAACTTCGCTAAAGATTCGTAGAAGCTGTGGGCCAAGCTACTACCCCAAGAGATTCAGTAGGAGCTGGAGGAGCTGGCTTCTGCCTCATACCAATGGGTGAGCCAACAGATCCATGACGACATGAGTGAGCTGCAGCAGTATCTGACCTTATGCCAACCATCTGAATGTAAATCTGCTGTTTCATTTCCACCTTCCACATGCCATACAGAGTTATCTTGCTGTCAACTCTAACCCAGAATCATGCAGAAAAGGGAGTTCTGGCAGTTGCTACAATACAAAATCACCATAACTTCCTATTTTAAGTCATAACCATAAAATTTTATATCATGAAAAGGTGTTAAAAGTGGACACAATAATGCAGGCAGATGTTTTGGAAAGCACCAAGGACATCTTTAAAAATTTTTTAGCTTCCATTGATGTGGTGTCAAAGGCAATCTACTTTGACTTTTTCTGGTTAGAATCATACATTCAAGCCTCTTTATAAATTAGTTTCGAAGGAGTTGTAATGTCATTTCCAATAGCACACTTGGTTTCTCTTTTTACTACATCATCTTGTTTATAATCATTGAATTCTTATTGTGCCACCATGTGAGCCTAAATGTGAATGTTTCATGAAATAATGTTAAGTTATGGGATTACTTCGAAATACCTTCCTTTTGCTTTACAGTCTGGTTACTTTACTTAAATGATTTAGGAGATTGTTGGACCACTGCCCTGTAACATAATTAAAATAATTACCATTTGTTAAATGCTTATGTGTGTACCAGGTACTATGTCAAGAACCTTCAATATATTATCTCACTTAATTCTTTTCAGTGCTATGAAAACTAGGTATTATTCCCATTTTACAGATACAGTAAAGTTGAGGCTCAGGTCAACTTGCCTGCGGTCACCTAGCAGGTAAGAAGAGGACCTGAGATTTAGGTTAGGTCTGTGTGACTCCAAAACAAATGTTCTTAACCGCTCTGCTGAACTGCTGTAAGTTTGGCTGTGATTTAGTTGGTGAGGAATATCCAAAAACCAGTAGGGAAAACTAAAATTGTATTTAACTGTCTAGTCACTGTATCTTTTCTTCCCCCCTATAGCTCTAACTGAGGAATTGGATTCTATATCCAATGAGCTACATGCAGTAAATGTTCAAATTCAAGAACTTCTGGAAAGACAACAAGAGCTTACTCAGAAAAAAAACATCCTAACAAACAGAATAAAGCAGTGTTTAGAGGATTCTGATGCTGTGAAAAGCAGTGAATGTGATTCTTCCTCACCTGCCTCTTGGAATAAAGAAGGTTTATTCTTTATTATTTTTTTTTTCTTTGCTAGTTTTTTTATTTTTTCTTTAAAATGGAATCAAATTATGCCTGGGTCAGTCTTTCCAGTAGACGCAGAAGTGAAACTGGCATTCCTTGAGTGGCATGGGAAATTTGTCGCAGACCATTTACCCATGTTCTATAGTCTTTTTGAATTAAGCTTTTATTTTTCAAACTTTATTTTTTCCAAATATGGTTTTAACAACATTAATCAGTGCTTGGAAAAATAAGATATTTAAATTTTCACCAGACAAAACTAAACAGTTGAAAAAAAATTCAAACTTCTTGCAAAAGTCTAGTTTATTTCCCTGCCCTACTGAACAAACCTTTTTTGATTCAAGATTTTGCCAAGCATCACATGTATCATTAATTATAATGGAATACTATAACTCTGCAAGGCATTGCAATATGTTTGTGGGCCTTGTTTTCCAGTGATTCACATCTAAAAAAGATATTTACACCAAGAATTCCAGCTAATTATTAATTTTATTCATGATATTTGAGTTTTTTTATGATACTTTGAATTTCTTGGTTGACATTTAGACTGTTTTTCAAATATCTGATCAAGCACCTTCCTTTGTGTAGGTTAAATCTCAATTGGCAAGTACTTTCATTTTCCCTGATGTATTGTTTCATTAAATTTGTTTTTGCTTAGCTTAGTGAATTAAACTAATTTTAAACTTGTTATTATGAAAGTTAAATTGTTCATTGTAATAGAAGTCTAATATATATATATATTTATCCGATTCTTCTCTATTATAAAACAGCCATTCAATTCACGTTTTTGTCTCACTTATAATCCTAAATAGTTTTAATATGTTTAGCTTAATTTTATCTTTCTAGATTTTCCATGGTCTGATAAAGTTAAAGATGTTCTGCAAAATGTCTTTAAATTGGAGATGTTCAGACTGCTTCAGCTTGAAACTATTAATGTAACAATGTCTGGAAAGGATATATTTCTTGTTATGCCTACGGGAGGAGGAAAGAGCTTATGTTACCAGTTACCAGCATTATGTTCAGACGGTATGTGTTAAGAAAGGTTAATTTTAAGTTTAAAAATGTCATTTCTCTTAATACATCTTTAAGTCTCTTGAAAAATAATTTCTAACCATAGATCAAATGGATTTTAAAAATGTATATTTAAAATATATATAAAATGTATATTAAAAATGTATATATAAAAATGTATATACATCTAAAGGATTTACTTAGGGATGTTAAAGACTTTGAGAGCAGTTAATTCTTTTATCTGTTTCCTGCTATATAATTAAAAATACGTTGTAGGAGAAAAAGTGCTAGGAAAGGAATCAGTAGACCTGGATTCCAGTCTCAGATCTTTATCAAGTGTCTGCTGTAGTTAGGCACTTGAGATACAGTACTGATCAAAACTTCCTGGTCCAAATTTTTATAGATCTCAGAGAATAGAGCAACCCTTTCTCAAACTTAATATGCATAAGAATCACCTAGTAATGATCTCATTAACATGCAGATTCTGTTTTATGCGAGACCCAAGATTTTGCATTTCTAACAGGCTTCCAGAGCCCATGCTGATATTGATGCTGCAGTTTGGGGACTACCAATGGGAGACAGCAAGGGTCAGCAAACTTTTCCTTAAAGGTCCATTCAGTATATATTATAGGCCAGTAATATTATAAATATTATGGTCAGTATGGTCCCTGTGGCAACTACTGAACTCTGCCATTGTAGCACTGAAGCAACCATAGACAAGATGTAAACAAATGGATATGGCTATGTTTCATTAAAACTTTATTTACAAAATCAAGCAATCAGCCTGTAGTTGACCCCTGGTCTCGAGAATACAGGTAATTGCAAACAGTTGCAATAGGGGTTTTATGACAAAGGTTTTAATAGAGAATTAAATCAGTGCAAATATCAGGTCTAGAGGCTGTTGGGTAAGGCTGTTACAAGGAAGTGGCATTCAAGCTACAAGCTAAAAGATAAGTAGGGGGGAAAAAAAAGGACAGTGGAAGAAGGAAGATTGTTTATTCAGGGGAGCAGTATTTGCAGGAGCCCAAAAGTAAGAGGGAATATGCATACATGCATGGTATGGTGTATTCAGTAACCTGGAAGGATTTCATTGTGCCAGGCAGTGAGGGGCAAGACATGCAGAAAGAGTCTTGAAAGATATTTTTAAAAATCTGACTTAGATTTTTGGGACACCATTGAAGAGTTTTATACAGGTAAGAGACTTGTCAGATTTGTGATTTAGAAGGATAATTTCAGCAGATGGGAGAATTCACAAATACTTAGAGGATAATTTTAGTAGGACTTGGTATTCATTGGATAGGTGGGTGGGGCATGGTAGGGTAGAAGAAGGTATAGTCTAGAATGATGTCCTAAATTTTGGCTAGAATAAATGGTAGTTTACTGAAATAGGGTACATTGGAGAAAGAACTTAATTTGGGAATGGAGAGAGAGGGAAGATGATGAATGTAATTTGGGACATGTTGAATTTATGAGGCCTATAAGACATCCAAGTGAGATTGTCCTGTTAGCAGAAAGATGTTTGGGTGTAACACTTGGGTCTGAGAGATCTGAGTTAGCTGAGTTGGAGGCTGTTAGTATAGAGATGACCATTGAAGCCACGAGAGTGAGTTTTATCATCTGGAGCAGCATGAGAAGAGAAAAAGCCTAGAACACAAACAAGAACACCAAAAGTTTAGGGATAAATGGAAAGAGGGCCTTGCAGAGAAGGTTGAGAAGGAATAGCAAAGTGTAGGAGGATAATCAGTGAGTATGGTGTTAAGAAGCCTAGTGAAGGGAGTATTTCAAGGAGGGAGTGGTTAATAGTTATGACTGTTGGCAAAAAGTCAAATGAAATAAGGACTTAAAAGTTTCATTGGTTAGTGACAAGGGAGTCATCTGTGACCTTGGCTAGAGTAATTTCAGTGAAACAGTTGAGTGGAAACGAAATAGCAATGATTTGGAAGAGAGTAGGAGTTGAGGAAGTGGAACTAATGAAAGAGATACTCTTTGGAAAGAATTGCTATGAAGGGAAAAAGAGAGAGAGTCCTAAATTACGTGTCCCTGTTTTTTTCAAAGATGAGAGAGACTCAACCTTGTTTAAATATTGAACTGATAAGAATAGGTACTACACTTGATCTTAGCTGAAAGGCCAAGAAGTGATGACTTTGTTTAAATATAATGAGATGGTGCCAGAAATGAGGGAGAAGGTGAAAATAAAGGAGAGAGTAATTGAGAGGGAGAAATCCCTGATAAGGTTTTAATCTGAGTATGTTTCTTAAATGGGTTTGCCCTCTGCTCACAGTTATTTTAAAGAACAAATCATAGAAACATAAGGTCAAATGTTTTAAACGATGTGGAATAGCTATTATAGCAGTCAATAATTTCAGTTATAGAAGAAAGGAAGTATATTACCAGAACTTCATGTAGTCAATAAACTTCACTGATTTCTACTCAGAATAAATTAGTATAGTGCAGTAAATGGAAGAATACTCATATAACTATCATTTTTAATTATACAGGTTACTATGTTTTTTTTTCTCTTGGAAAACTTTTCCCTGATGTAACTGGATAGTATTTGACTTAATTTCTATTATTTTAATGAGATTACCAATACTGATTATTAACAATGATGGTGACTTAAAAATTCAAAATGATAATATCTGTATTTTTATAAGACTGAATAAAGGAGGATTTCTTTTTTAATCTTATATTTGCCTATTTGGCTTGTCATTTATTCATATAATTCTCTTTTATTATTGAGGTTAAGAAATAGATAGTAAATTGCTAAAGTTGAATTCAAAATTAGTCTGAATTGATGGCTGATACCCACAAGTATGGTAAAGAAGGTGAATGGTCTAAACTTGTTCAAGTGGTGGTATAAAATTTAAAGTAGATTTTCTTTTTCTCTTGTAGGTTTTACACTTGTGATTTGCCCATTGATCTCTCTTATGGAAGACCAATTAATGGTTTTAAAACAATTGGAAATTTCAGCTACCATGTTAAATGCTTCTAGTTCTAAGGTATGTTTTTATAGCTTTTTAAAAAAAATTTAATTCTTTATTGAAATGGGAGCCTTATCTATAGTTGAGTCACTTATAAAATTATAAACTGATAACTTTTTTATTTTTTTTATTTTTTAATTTTTTTAGGAGAGGCAACCCTTGGTTGACCTCACAGATTGCAAGAACCTTGTTAATTTACAATCCCTTATTTTTTTTGTTTTTTATTTTTTAATTTTTACAACTACAGCACCTGGTTTTCCTCGGCGGTCTCCCATTCAAGCACTAACCAAGCCTGACCCTGCTTAGCTTCCGAGATCAGATGGGATTGGGCTTTTTCAGGGTGGCATGGCCTTAGACAATAACTATTTTTATCAGGAGTTGCAAACTACTGCTTACAGACCAGTTCTAGCTCACTGACTATTTTGTGTGCTTTGTGAATTAAGATTGGTTTTTACATTTTTAAAAAGGTATTAAAAAATCGAAAAAAGAATAATATTTTGTGAAGTGTGAAAATTATATGAGATTCATATTTCCATAAAGTTGTGTTGGAACACAACCGTGATCGTTTATTTATGGAGAGTCTATGACTTTTTACACCATAATGACAGAGTTAATTCGTTGTGATAGTTGAGATCATATGGCCCATAAAAACCTAATATTTAAATTATCTCACACTTTACAGTGTGAGCATTTGCTGACCTGTTTTATAGTATCCCTTATAAAAGAGTAAGCAAGAATTTGTAATTATGCAATGTAATTAAATACAAAAAAATGAGTTACTAACAAGATACCTACTCCCATGGAATTTCTTCTTTTTGGGAATGGACTCTTAACCTTTAACCTTCATCTGCTGAATAAAGCATTAACCAGTTATTTTTTCAGAAAGCATTTTATTGAAATTTTCAAAAGCATACAAAAGTAGAGACTAGTATAAAAATTGCGATGTATCTATTAACCACCTTTAACAGTTATCAACATATGACCAGTCTTTCTTCATCTATCTACCCCCCATTTTCCCAACCTCCTCCCACTTGGTTTATTTATTTAAAACAACTCCCAAACCTCATATCATTGAAATTGTAACTTCTTTAGTGTGGCTATCTTTTAAAAACACATAACTATAATTCCATCATCACATCTAAAAAATTTAATATCAATTCCTTTAAGTTATCAAATGAAAATATTCAGATTTCTCTAATTAAATTTTATGCTTTTTCTGTAAAAAAAAAAAAAAAAATCGTGTTCCAGATAAGATTCATGCATTATATTGTATTTGGTTGATATATCCATAGGTTCCCCTTATTTCTTTTGTTTCTTGTGCAAATTGTTTGTTGAAGGAACTAGGTTCTTTGTTCTATAGTTTTCTATTTTCTTGATTGTTTCCCTATGCTGTAGTCTAACTTGTTCCTTTTAGTTGATCTAAAAATTTGATTGGGTTTATATTTGGATTTTTTCCCCCAAGAATGTACTTCCCATGGCTTCACTAATGAGTTACGTAATATCTGGTTGTTCTCTATGATGTTAAGCTTGATCAGTGGATTCAGGTGATGTCTACCTGATCAATTTCTCTATCAGCTTTTCATCTAATGGTTTTAGCAGCCACTGATGATTATTGCTTACTTTAGAGCTGCTATTTAATTAGGAGGTTACAAAATGGTGATTTCGAATTCTATCACTTCTTCTTATTGCTTACTTTAGAGCTGCTATTTAATTAGGAGGTTACAAAATGGTGATTTCTAATTCTCTCACTTCTTCATATACAATTTCTCTATCAGCTTTTCATCTAATGGTTTTAGCAGCCACTGATGATTATTGCTTACTTTAGAGCTGCTATTTAATTAGGAGGTTACAAAATGGTGATTTCGAATTCTATCACTTCTTCTTATTGCTTACTTTAGAGCTGCTATTTAATTAGGAGGTTACAAAATGGTGATTTCTAATTCTATCACTTCTTTAGCTAGACTTTTTCTGTAAAGAACTTTTTCCTTATTAACTCTTTATAGATTGAAAATTCTTTCTCTTTGCAAATTTTCAGAAAGTGTTGGTTTCCAGCATTTTCCAGAGGTGGTTCGTAGGGCTTTTTCCCTCAAGTATCATTATAGACATGGTTTTTTAATATGTTTGGTGTATTTTAATCTACAGTTATTATTCTTTTTTTAATGCTGAAATAGTCTCATCTTTGGACAGTGAGAGTCTATTTAAATTGGCTCCTGCTTTTTTTTTCTTTCACCCCATAGTTTTTGACTCCTTGCTTTCTTATACAGTAAGATACTCCAGGTTCATTTTGTATATTTCCTTCCAGACCTGGAGTCAGCTGTATTTCCAAGAAGCCCTGACTCCTTTAGTTTTTCCCATATGTTTTTGTTTTATTTAGGTTCTTGTGTCATTATAACTGTTCTCTCATTCAATAGAATGAACCTATGGAGAACTTTGCCTTTTAATACTGTACTTCCTTAAAACTCAAAAAGAGAGTAACAATACATATGAAAAGTAGTTAGAAAGTTGCAGATAATTACAAGTTCATGCCATATTACTACTGTTTGAAAAGTTAGGGAGGAAAGTCGTTTTTTGGTTGCTTTCACTGGACCTTCATAGGATGTGAATATAATTTTTTAACCTTGTTTTTCCACTTACTTTGCCAGAAGTTCTAGTATTTTTTTGCATCTGCCCATTTCTGAGTAAATAGCCTTATATTTGCTCCCTTAAGATTTCTGGGACATTTAGGACCAGTTGAAATGTTTAATACACTTTGGCCATTTTTAACAAAATTGGAAATATCTCAAGGAGTTAACAAACTGCTTTGCTGAGGCGATGAAAGCAGTTTTGACTTTTTCTATTACATTCATTATTGTTTCTTTTTTTGATTAGAAGGAAACAATGTGGCATCTAATGTGTGATACATGTATAATAACAGAACATTAAGAACTTAATAATTGTTACCTTTTAAGATTTATTATTATATATAACATAAATATGTATTTCATATTATAAAAATCTTAATTCAATGAATGAGATACTTTATAAAGCCTAAATAGATTATGAGTCTATTTGATAGCATCATTAAAGTAGCTAATCAAGAATAAATTATGTTCATAGATACATGTAGTGATTACAAATATAATGTTAAAATTAATAAAAACACCTTTCTAATAATGCCTATCGCATTGAGCTCACATTTTTGCATTGATTATGAACAATTTAGAATTATGCTTTCATAGAATAAGTGCTTATTGGAGTGTCTTGACATTCATTTCTCATTCTCTTTTTATCAAATGAAATTATTCTTTTATCAACAGTTTGGGTATAAATAAAAAACTAACATGCTATTTATACAGCTGCCATGAAGTTTAGTACTGGGACAAGGTTTTGATTTTAATGAACTGAACATCTGCTAAAACACCCCAAGGCTATTGCTTTTGAGTAATGAACATCTTCATTTACCACATAGTATTATAGCTTCATAGCTTAGTTCTCTTACAATTATGTCTGCTTTTCCTTTCAATAGGAGCATGTGAAATGGGTTCATGCTGAAATGGTAAATAAAAACTCCAAGCTAAAGTTAATTTACGTGACTCCAGAGAAAATTGCAAAAAGCAAAATGTTTATGTCAAGGCTAGAAAAAGCCTATGAAGCAAAGAGACTCACCCGAATTGCTGTGGATGAAGTTCACTGCTGTAGCCAGTGGGGTCATGATTTCAGACCTGGTATGTATGCTGTCTCTAGAAAACTCCTTCATGCTTGAGACTATTTTCTTAACTCAGCTTTACATGATGGGAAATCCCTGTTTTCATTAAAATTATCTTCTCAGGTAGTTATTACTCCTGTTCTCTTGCTTTTCATATAAGGGAAATCAAGAGGCAGAATCTTTAATCTCTTTACTCCAAGGTTGTGTTTAGTCAAACTGCCTTTATCCTTTGAAACGTTTGTTTATTAGCAAATATTATACTCTTCCACCTTTAGGCATAAAGATTTACTGACCTCCAAGTTCTCTTTCCCATCTGTTGAGGAATGTGCATCTGGTTCAAAGTTGTCTTTTTTAGTCATTATCCTGAGTGTCCTTAGCATCCACTTCAGGACCTATACCCAACTGACTCCTCAGTGGTAAAGTTCTGTGGGAAATGTGGGATATTTTAGTAACCCTTTTCTTTACTCCAACCTAATTCTACAGTCATAGCCTGAAGCGAATTACTCAGACTTGTTCTATGAAAAAAAAAATCTTAAAAAAATCCTCTTCCGTGATTTCAACCTCTTCCTTTTGACCTGCTTCATATTCATATGGAGCTCTGGATTCTTCTTTAATCCCTCCTGGTATTTGTCCCAGTCCATACATGATGGTCACTCTTTATCCTATCCAGACTCTGTTTGGTTGCCACTTCTGTTATATTTCTTCTGGATTGCCTGGCATTTTGCCAGTCTGCTTCAGGCACTGTGCCAGACTGATCTGAAATGCTGGATCCATCCAGGCTCTGCTTTTTTCATTCTCTGTTTGGCTACTAAGCATCGTTGGAAATAAATTGCATAACTGCATTAATATCCACCTCACTTCAGCTTTCATTGTGCTCAGTTTATCCTTTTATTTGTCCCTGTTTCATCTCCTTTATACATTTTTTCCCAACAAACTTTCCATACCACTAACTTTCTCTTCAGGCCTTAACTCATACTTAGCAGATGCCTCCTACTACCCAGAAAGTAGGTGCCATCAGGTATGGACATCTCTTCTTTTCCATTCCAAACGTTAGTAATAATTTTTTTTAGGAAAAAAATATTTTTTTATAAGAGTAACTATGACCACTCCCACTTTATCCTTTCCTGCCTTCTTAAGATCTTGTTCTGTCAAAATCCTCACTCTTTCATCTTTAGTTTCCCTAAAAACAAAAACAGAAACTGAAATACACTTCTGACCTTTTCCACCCCTTCCTGGTGTTGTCCTATTTTTGTTCTTCCTTTCATCTTACCTTCTAACCTCACTGTCTCCATTTCTCACTTTCATTCCTTTCTGAGTTCATTGAATCACACATCTGCTTCTACTGTCCTACTCAGAGGTCACCAATGACCTCACTTCCCACTGGCTAAATCCAGCGGTCTCATCTTCAATAGCATTTCATACTGTTCATCTCTCACCTCGCCCCTTCCCCTTCTTGGTTACTACAACATAACACTTTTGATTTTGCTCCTTTTCATTCTCACCTTCATTCTTGTTCCTTTGCTGCCTCCTTAAATAATAGTGTTCCCTATGGTTCTGATCTTTCTTCACATTTTCTTAGACTTCCTCATGGATAGTAGACCTGTGGTCTGAGGACAGAATTCTCTACCTTTGGAATTATTGGGGTACAGGTATTTTTTTAAATTTTGATTTAAATGCCTTAGGTAGTATATATATATATAGTCATTTTTATTAAGGGTCCCTATCTTAATCAGACTGCTACACAGAATTGTTACTGGTAGCCACAGAAATACCAGATTTCTCACTCTTGCCCTATTTTTCCAATCTGAGTGGTAAGATCACTTATGATAATTACAATTGTATTACCATGACCTGCGTCACCGCTGAAGATCTGTTGCCAGCTATAATGAATTTTTTTCTATCTAATTATCTTACCCTTAAAATTCAGATTTATATTCCTAATTGTTTATTGGAATTGTATATCAAAATTTTTTTTTAAATTGAGAGATAATTGACATATAACATTGTATTAGTTTTAGGTGTACAACATAATTATTTGATATATGTATATTTTGCAAAATTATTACCACAATAACTTTAGTTAACATCTATCACCCACACATAGTTATACATTTTTTTCCCCTTGTGATGAGAACTTTTAAGATTTACTTCCTTAGCAACTTTCAGATATACAATACAGTATTGTAACTATAGTCGCCATGTTGTACATTACATCTCCAGGACTTATTCATCTTATTAATCAAAAGTTCGTACCTTTTGACCACTTTCACTCACTTCAGCTATCCCCATCTTTCGCCTTTGGCAACCACCAATCTGTTCTCTGTTTCTTTGAGTTCATTGTTTTGTTATTGTTGTTATTTAAGATTCCACATATGTGGGGTACCATACAGTATTTATCTTTCTCTGTCTGACTTATATCACTTAGCACAATGCCTTCCAGGTCCATTTATGTTGTCACAAATGACAACATTTCCTTCTTTTTTATGGCTGAATATATTCCATTATAATTATATACCACATTTTTTTTTTAACTCATTCATACACTAATGGACACTTAAGTTGTTTCCATGTCTTAGTTATAAGTAATGTGGGAGTGTAGGTATCTTTTTGAGGCAGTGATTTCATTTCCTCTTAGTAAATACCCAAATGTAGAATTGCTGGATCATTTGGTAGTTCTATTTTTAATATCTTGAGAAACTGCCACACTGTTTTTACACCATAGTGGCTGTAACAATTTACATTCCTACCAAAAGTACACCAGGGTTCTTTTTTTGACAATATGGTGAGGGATTTTTTTGTATTTTTGTAGAAAGCCATTCTAACAGGTGTGAGGTGATATCTCATTGTGGTTTTGATTTGTATCTCACCAATTATTAGTGATGCTGAACACCTTTTCATGTACCTGTTGGCCATTTGTATGTCTTCTCTGGAAAAATATTTTGATTCTTTGCCCATTTTTTCCATGGATTTTTTTTTTTTTTTTTTTGGCTATTGAGTTGTATGAGTTCTTTATATATTTTGGATGTTAATCCCTTATCAGATATATGATACATTTTAATATATTGTTTTAATATATTATTGAATTTGGTTTGCGTATATTTTCTCCCATTCTGTAGGTTACCTTTGCATTATGTTGATGGTCTCCTTTGTTGTACAGAAGGTTTTTTAGTTTGATGTAGTTCCACTTGTTTATTTTTGCTTGTTGCCTTTACTTTTGGTGTAAAACCCAAAAAACCCTTTCCCGATGTCAGACTGATGTCAAGGAGCTTACCCCTATGTTTTCTACTAGGATTTTTATGGTTCCAGATTTTATGTTTACGTCTTAAATCTATTTCGCGTTGATTTCTGTGTATGGTGTAAGATAAAATTTCAGTTTTATTCTTTTGCATATGTCTGTCTAGTTTTCCCCAACACCATTTATTGAAGAGACCATCATTTCCCTATTGTGTATTTCTTGGCTTTTTTGTTATAAATTAATTGCTTATATATGCATGGATTTATTTCTGGACTCTATTCTATTGATCTGCATTTTTGTTATGTATGTTAATACCATACAGTTTTGATTACTAAAGTTTTGTAATATAGTTTGAAACAGGGAATGTGATGCCTCCAGCTTTCTTCTTTCTCAGAATTGCTTTGGCTATTTAGAGTCTTTTGTGGTTCCAGATAAATTTTAGGATTGTTTTTCTTATTTCTGTGAAAAATGTCATTGGAATTTAATAGAGATTGTATTGAATCTGTAGATTGCTTTAGGTAGTATGGACATTTTATTAATATTGATTCTTCTAGTCCATGAGCATGGAATATGTTTCCATTTATTTGTGTCTTCTTCAATGTCTTTGATCAATAGTTTTCAGTCATATTGGTCTTTCACCTCCTTGGTTAATTCATTTCTCGGTATTTTTTTCTTTTTATACAGTTTTAAATGGGACAATTTTCTTAATTTCTCTTTCTGATAGTTATTGGTCTATAGAAACACAACAGATTTTCGTATATTGATTTTTGTATCCTTCAATTTACTGAATTTGTTTATTAGTGTTTGATGGAGTCTTTAAGATTTTCTATGTATGATATCATGTCATCTGCAAATAGTGACAATTTTACTTCTTCTGTTTCAATTTATATGCCTCTTATTTCTTTTTCTTGCCTAATTGCTCTAGCTAAGCCTTACATGATTTTTGTCCTTCATTTTGTTAATGTGTTATTCACATTGATTGATTTGTGGATGTTAACCATCCTGCACCCCTGGAATAATTCCCAGTTATTGTATATGATCCTTTTAATATATTATTGAATTTGGTTTGCTAATGTTTTGTTGAGGATTTTTGTATCTATGTTCATCAGGGATATTGGCCTTATTCACATTGATTGATTTGTGGATGTTGAACCATCCTGCACCCCTGGAATAATTCCCAGTTGATCATTGTATATGATCCTTTTAATATATTATTGAATTTGGTTTGCTAATGTTTTGTTGAGGATTTTTGTATCTATGTTCATCAGGGATATTGGCCTGTAGTTTTTTCTTTTCTTGTAGTGTTCTTGTCTGCTCTCAGTAGTTTTAGGGTACTGCTGGCCTCATAGAATGAGTTTGGAAGTGTTCTTTTCTCTTTTATTTCTTGGAAGAGTTTGAGAAGGATTAGTATAAATTCTTCTTTACTTTTGGTAGAATTCACCAGGAAGCCATCTGGTCCTGGACTTTTGTTTGTGGGGAAGTTTTTGATTACTGTTTCAATCTCCTTACTAGTAATCTTTTATTTCTTTATGGTTCAGTCTTGGTGGATTGTATGCTTCCAGGAATTTATCCATTTCTTCTAGCTTCTCCCATTTGTTGGTATATAATTTGATAGTAGTCTCTTATGATCTTTTGTTTTTCTGTGGTATCAGTCGTTATATCTCCTCATTCATTTCTGATTTTGAGTCCTCCTTTTTTCTTGGTAAGTCTGGCTAAAGGTTTGTCTATTTTGTTTCATCTTAAAAACCCAGCTCTTAGTTTCCTTGATCTTTTGTGTTGTCTTTTTAGTCTCATTTATTTCAGTGTTGATTTTGTTATTTCCTTCCTTTTACTAATTTTGGGTATAATTTGTTCTTCCTTTTCTAGTTCCTTGAGGTGTAAAGTTAGGTTGTTTGAGGTCTTTATTGTTTCTTATTGTAGGCATGTATTACTATGACGTTCCCTCTTAGAACTTTTTGGCGGCTTCCTGTAAGTTTTGGTATGTTGTGTTTTCTGTTTTCTTTTGTTTCAAGACTTTGCAAATTTATTTTTTTCATGTGTGTCTAAATTAGCACGACTACAGCTAACTTCCTCTCAAAATAACTACTCTTTTTCTTTCAATTCTGCATCTAGGAATCGCTATTTACCCTATTGCTCTACTAGATGTCCTGATGAAGAACCTTTGATTTCCCTCCCCTCTCCCTGTATTCTCCCTTCTTTCCCATTCTCCCAAGCAACTTTATTTTAGAAAACCATTCAACTACTCACACGTTGCTTAAGTCAAAGTTTTAGCAATTATCTGTCTCAGTCAGCATCCAGTCAGGAGATAGGAACCATACCAGTTATTTGAACACAGAATTTATGGAAAGAATTGTTAACTAGGTAAAATGTAGTTATAAATAGCTAACTGAAAAAATAAAAAGAAAACTCTTAAGTTATCATGGAAGTAAAAACTGGCAAAAACAGCTACCATTCTTAGGGCTCAGGGAATAGGAAGAAAAGGTTGGAACTAATAAGATTTGGAAACCTGGCAAAGGGGCCATGTGGAGATGAAACTGAATGTTTGAGGAGACGCAGCTCTCTAGTGGAGGCAGAGGTGGGGCGGACCCACGATGAAGCTGGAAAAACTGCCAACTGTATTCAGCTGCTACTAAGGAGAGACAATGCTGCTGCAGGGTGGAAAAGTCTTGCTGGGGTGACATTATCGAGAACACAAACAAGGCCAGAGGAAGTAAACAGGAAGGAACAACACCCTTTTTCCTTCCCAGCCTTATACTCTGTCCTTCTAGGACCAGCTGGCAGAGTAGAAATATAGTGTGCACATTTCCTGCTCAAGCACCACAAAGCAGAGTATGGAAGGGTGGAGTTGGAGCTGAGAACAAATAACTTACTAGATCACACATAATCTTTGATTTATTGTATCTCTGCAGATCCAATCCACCACCAAGTCCTGTATGCTCTGCCTCTAAATTGAATCTCATTTGTCCCCTTCTCTTTATCTGTATTGCTATCTCTTGAAGTCCAATTGGGCTCCTTTCCACTCTTCTACTACAGCAACTCCCTAACTAGTCTCTGACTCCAGTCTTACCATTTTACAGTTCATTCTGCACACACCAACCAAAGTGATCTATTTATAAATTAAATCATGTTACTTTTTTTTCCTAAACCACCCAGCAGATTCTCTTTATACTTAGGATAAAATCCATAATCTTAACTGGGGTCCATAAGGCCATATGCAATCTGTCCCTTTTGTCTCTATCTGATTTCCTTTTCTTCCTCACTCATTATATTCCAACTACACTGGGTTTATCACTTTGAGCAGTTATTACTCTCTAGTAATAAGATACTTATTGGTTCAATCATTGTATTGTCTATTTTCTTTGCTTAAATTACGGTTCCATTTGCACAGCATCTTTGTCTTGTTCACCACTTTATCTCCGGTTCCTAGAGACATGCTTGGCACATAAAAGCATGTATTCAGCAGATGTCTCTTGATGAATGGGTAAATCTTGGATTCTTTCCTCTCCTCTCCTCCCCCTGCTGCCCTCTCCCCTCCCCTAATATCCTAATAGTCACTAGGACCTATGAGGTTCTAGTTCATGTATTTATTCAGTCTTTTCTTTCTCATTTGTCCCCAGTGTCATGACATATTTCACAGTTGCTATTATTTATTTTCTAGTATTTTACTACCATCTTTTAACTGGTCTTTCTTTCTTCAATCTCTTGCCTATTTTAGCTCATCCTTTGCACTGCCACCGAAAGATGATTTCTGAAACATAAGTCTGTTTATATCTGTTGTCTGCTTTAGAAATTGCTTAATGATTCCTCATTTCCATTAGAATAAAGCTTCTTAGAATCAACTGACTATATCATTCATAGTCTTGAATTAAACCTGCCTTTCTTTCTTTACCCTTCTATGTAATAGTATCAGCCAGGGTTGGGGCCGGGAAGCAGAGCCACTATGAATGTTAGGAAATAAGGGATTTATTTTAGGAAGTAGACCTCTCGCAATTGTAGGAGGAGCTGGGGAAGAGAAGGTCTGAATGGGCGGTTGGAGGATCAGAGAAAAGTCATTGACTGGTCCTGAGGCACTGGCATGGAAAGGCCAGCCAAAGCTTGTAGGGGAAACTGCAGCTGGTGTAGCCAGTGCCAAAGGGGGACCACAGTGGGGAAGCTAGCGAGAGGTCTCTGGTAAGCTGTTTCTTCCAAGTACCTGTCAACTCCTAGATCTGCTGCCAAGCATCTATCTAGTGGGGGTCCCCTGTTGAACAGCAAGGCCTGTGTTTGGGAAGAAGAGCTAATGAAGCAGTAGAAAAGAGCTAGGACAAGTTAGACCTGGCTGGGCACCTCTGCTTCTGTCCATCATCCTATCTGCCTGGAAAGGCCATCAGAGAGTCATGGCAGCTGGTTTACCTCTGCCTCCCACACCTTACACAAGTTCCTCTTTTGGGCCAGTTCTAACTTGAAACTATACAAGGAAAACAGTTCCCTCCTTACCAGAGTTGACAACAGATTCATCTAGCATATGACTGATTTAGCCCCACTGAACTGCTTGTTGTTATCTGAACCTGCCAAGTTATTTCATGCCAGCGTGTCTGCAGTGTATATGCTATTTCTTGTGTCTGATGTTTTCTTCTTCCCTTCCTAGTGAACTTCTGCTCATTCCTCAAGACGCAACTCAAGTGTTAGCTCCTTGAAACCTTTACAACTTCCCAAGCAGTTTCTGTGTCCTCTGTAGTTTCATAATAGTCCTCTACCGTAGCGTTTAATAATTTCTACCACATTTTTTTTTTCATTTTCTCTAAATAATTTAAGTACTTAGGGAGTATTTAAGGACAACTTGTCTAATGATTTAGTTGTAAATGACAAATGTGAGCTGAGGTCCCCTGAAATAGGTTATATAAAAAGCCGTGTCCTCACCAACCTTTTTCTGGTCTGAACATGCTACTCCTGCATGCTCCTGGTGGTAGAAGGCTTTTGGCTAATGGCTTCTTTCGTCTCTTGTCAATTGTACTAGATTCAAACACTATGGCTACTCCCACTGCCTCTTGAATCCCCTGGTCAGCAGGTATAGACCAGTGCCTAGCTTATTGGAAATGTTTATTCCCTCTCTTCAGCAGGGACTTCCATCCATGGTCAAGAACAGTATTTTTGAAGAACCAGTTAAAAGTATGATAAAGCCTGCCTTATTCAAAAAGGACAGGCCACAACTGCAGATTTACTGAGATTGAGAGCTATAGAAATCAAATTACAGCAATCATTGTTTACCTGCATCATGTTAAAGGCTTAATTTACTCTGTTCCTTAAAAGTTAGAAAGAGGGCCACTTTGTTATTTCTTTTTTTCAGATTATAAGGCACTTGGTATCTTAAAGAGGCAATTCCCTAACACAGCACTAATTGGGCTGACTGCAACTGCAACAAATCATGTTCTGAAGGATGCTCAGAAAATATTGTGTATTGAAAAGTGTCTTACTTTTACAGCTTCCTTTAATCGGCCAAATCTTTATTATGAGGTATGTAACTTTTCTATCAACTTACAGCTTTTGTGAAGGATTGTAGCAGAGGTTACCTTTTCATTATGTTTACTTATATGAGTAACAGTAACTATGAAAGTTTTCAAAATCAGGAATAAATTACAAGCAGATTAATGCTTTCTTTTTATATCTCTTGTGCTTCTAGCTCTTCTATAGTAGGTTAAGTAGAAGACACTGCCTTGTTAAATATTTGTACATTCTTTCTTATGCAAGGATGGAGAGAAAGTAAGATGATACCAAGGACCCTATGACATCCTATTGAAATTAATTTGAAATAATACACAATTAATAGGCCACTAAAGATTTACTAGTACTCCCTATTTAGATTATAGTTGATATGTAACCTTTAAAGTTAAATAATCTAACAGCTGTTTTTTTCTTTCAAATCCTTTCAAGAGTGGATTTGATATTTTTCTGAGTTTTCATTGACTAGTTAGTTATGCCCTGGTTTATATTTTATAAAAGTAGCATCAGAAAATAAAGTCTCCATCTTTACAAGTTTTTCACTGCTTCTGTGCCTCCTCATTTCTGGTAAATTCAAAACTAAGGATCAAGAAGAGGTTGGGAGGTAGCAGGGGAGAGGCAGACGGGGTGAATCAGATGAGGCAAGTGAAAAAATGAAAAAAACTAAAAAGAATGGTGCCTGAAAGTTGCAAGTAGTGACTGCTTGGATAGTACTCATTAATTTACTTTTTAATAAGTTAAGCTTTTTTTTAGGTTCGACAGAAGCCCTCAAACACTGAAGATTTTATTGAGGATATTGTAAAGCTCATTAATGGGAGATATAATGGGCAATCAGGTAATAAAATAACAAACCAACTTATGAAGACTGAGAGAACTTTCAAAAAGTAACTAATAGTACACTGATGTAATACACTCATATATGATAAACACCAGAAAATATTAATGTATGGCAGAAGATACTTGACCATATTATGATAAAATTAATTTGCTTGGTGATCTTAGAAATTGGGTGTGGCATTTGCTAACGGCGCAGATTATGAGTCTGATTTATTTTTGCTTATTTATACTTAATTGCTTCAAAGAATGGGCTTAATGACATAATGTTAATTTTCAACAGCACATATTTAGTAAGTATCCACTTCTATATAAGATAGAAGTTTAAGCACTGATGCTGTAAAGGGATATAAAATATAGACCCTTATAATAAAGGACACATTAAAGAAATAGATAGTACATATTGAAAGAGTTAAGTATTGATGGAGTTGAGAGTATACATACATGTGTTTCAGGATTAATGAATAGGCAAATGTTACTGAAGCAAAGAGTCTGTAAAAGTAGCATTTCAGAACTGTTCTGTAGATTTTTCAGGAAATATTAATGGATACCCTGGGTAAAAGGAGTTCTAGGATCAAACGAGTTTGAGAAAGGCTGCAGCTATTTCTACCTCCTGGAAATGCACATTAGAGGTTCTGACCAGCCCTGCAGATAAAGAGAAAAACTTATTTAACTTTATTCAATGCAGTGTTCCGCAAACTCATTTGCTCGTGAAACTTTTTTCACAGCATACTTGCCAACATCCTATGGAGCTAGGGGACATCAGTTTGACAAATTCTGTGTAGTGGGAGATAAAGTCAGAGAGAGAAAAGAGGCAGTGGGAACCAACACCGGTGACTTGGCTCATTTCTGTTTTAGAGCAGGCTGGTGATCAAATCTTGAATTATACCGAAAAGTCAATATGTGTTCAGGGCCTTGGAGTTTTTCATAAATCTTTTCCCCCCGTGCATTGTATTAATCAGTGTCTTGAATGTGTGTGTGAAAAATTCTCTTTCAAGAATGTATTATATATATCTAACAATTGGACATATTTTCTACAGGAATCATATATTGTTTTTCTCAGAAGGACTCTGAGCAAGTTACGGTTAGTTTACAGAAACTGGGAATTCATGCAGGTGCATACCATGCCAATATGGAACCAGAAGATAAGACCAAGGTCCATAGAAGATGGTCAGCCAATGAAATTCAGGTTAAATATATATCTTCAATGGAAGCTTAATTCACCTTGAAAATATTTTAGCTTGACTTAATTAACATGTAAAATGTTAAAACATTTTAGGTAGTGGTGGCAACGGTTGCATTTGGTATGGGAATTGATAAACCAGATGTGAGGTTTGTCATTCATCATTCAATGAGTAAATCTATGGAAAATTATTACCAGGAGAGTGGACGTGCAGGTATGTATAACTCAAATCCAGAAGTAACTTTTTAAAAAGCTTTTCCAGAAAACACAAACATGATGTTTAGTAATTCTGTATTTCTAATCTTTATTGGTTACTATTTTTGGAGTGAACAAGTCTTTTTTGCAGTTTTATACTTATTTGCCTGTGGAAAAATTTTACTTATGTTCTATTGAAGTGTTATGAATTATTTCTTCTTATGTTTGCTAAGATAATTTGATGTCCATCTTTGTCTCCTGAATTTTTAATTAGTGGTTTCAAATCCAAAATTTAAAAAACTGGATTACTTATTGGACAAATTTTTTAACTAATAAGCTGATTGTCGATAAATCTTTCTAGTCACTATTTAAAAAATTTGAGGGCAGCTGTTAAAAATTTCACATTTCTGTCTGGAATTTTTTTCTTTTCTTTTTTTTTTAGGCAAGGAAACCCTTGGTTGACCTCACAGATTGCAAGGACCTTGTCAGCTTACAATTCCTTATTTTTTTATTTTTTACACCTACAGCACCTGGTCTTCCTAGGTGGTCTCCTATCCAAGTACTAACCAGGCTTGACCCTGCTTAGCTTCCGAGATCAGACAGGATCAGGCTTGTTCAGGGTAGCATGGCCGTAGACTGTCTGGAATTTCTAGATGTGTTATATTTAGACAATGAAGCATTGCCAGCTAATTTTACGTATATTATTTTTGCATGTTTTGAATTTTTTAAGTAATTATGCAATCCCAAGATCTCTCGCAATTCCAAGATCTCTCATACTACAGGTCGAGATGACATGAAAGCAGATTGTATTTTGTATTATGGCTTTGGAGATATATTCAGAATAAGTTCAATGGTGGTGATGGAAAATGTGGGACAACAAAAGCTTTATGAGATGGTGTCATACTGTCAAAACATAAGCAAGTAAGCCACCTACCTTTTCGTATTTAATTCAATTAAAGACAAACAATTGGAAAGTGTATGGCATTATTTTGAGTACTTAGGAAAGTCAATAAGTACATTGGTAGAACATCAAGTGCAAACATGTAAAACCTGCAATATTGGCTGTAATCCAAGAAAAGATATTTGCATGTACATAAGCCCTCTCTCCCTCTCTTCCTCTCTCTCTTTCATTATCCAAAACTATATTTTACTGAAGGTTTTGGTACAAATTGACAGTGAGTTCAAGCCCTCTTTCTCTGGCATTAGTGTACAGCTACAAGCTTTAATAATTTCGAAAAGATGTATTAGAGGTGTTTTGAGAGTTGAACTCAGTAACACATATCATCTTACCAGCTGATAGATTGATGAAATAATTGACAGCAGAGTCAAGTTTCTCAAATAAATTTAAATCTATTTAGTGTGGCTTTAGTTAGACCATATAGCTCCCTGATGGCTTCTTGGTATTAGTCATCTTTGTTCTCATATGCCCATCACATAAAAAGGACACGAAAATTTTGAAATGATTAGCAGTAACCAGACAGTGACAGGAAATGGTATTTCTTTCCTATAGATGCTACAATAATCTAGTTAAATGAGAAAATGAAAATTTCCTTAGATGTCCAGTAGACCCCCGTGAAGCATATTTTGGGATTTAGACTCCAATGGATACTGTAAAATACAAGAAACTGCTTTGCTATCAGGAAGATATTCTTAATAGTTGTAAAATATTGAGTCACAAAATAAATCTCAGACATATTCTTAAAAGCTAAATTTATCAAGTACATATGGAAAAAATTGCATGTGGTGAGAAGACTAATGGTCACCAAAGATGTCCACACCCAAATCACTGGAACCTGTGAGTATATTACCTTACATGGCAAAAGGTCATAAATGGAATTATTATTAAGGTTGCTAATCAGCTGACCTTAAAATAGGGAGATTATCTTGGATTATTTGGGTGGACCCAGTACAATCACAAGGGTCTTTTTATGTGGAAGGAGACAGAAGAGGGGGAGAAAGAGTGATGTGATATGGAGACAACCCACTGTTCTTGGATTTAAAGATGGGGTAAAGAGGGTCTGGTGCCAAGGAATGCAAGCAGTCTCTAGAAACCGGAAAGGACAGGAAAACAGATTCTCTCCTCTAGAGCCACGGTCCTCAACCTTTTTGGCACCAGTAGGAATGCAAGCAGTCTCTAGAAACCGGAAAGGACAAGAAAACAGATTCTCTCCTCTAGAGCCACGGTCCCCAACCTTTTTGGCACCAGGGACCTGTGCTCTTATGAGCATCTAATGCCTGATGATCTGAGGTGGAGCTTAGGTGGTGATGTTAGCGCTGGGAAATGGCTACAAATACAGATGACGCTTTGCTTGCTGCCTGCCACTCACCTCCTGCTGTGTGATCTGGTTCCTAACAGGCCACAGACTGGTACCTGTCCGCAGACAGGTACCTGTGTGCGGCCCCTGGGTTGTGGAGCCCTGCTCCAGAGCCTCCAGAAGAAACACTGCCCTGCTAACACTTTGATTTTAACCCACTAAGACCCATATCAGACTTCTAGCTTGTAGAAATGTAACATAATTTGTGCTGTTTCAAGCCAGTAAATTTGTGGTAATATGGCAGCAATAGGAAACTAATATATAACCCTGTATTAAAACTTTATTAGATCATTTAATAATTTATATCCCTAATCTGTTTGCAGATGTCGTCGTGTATTGATAGCGCAACATTTTGATGAAGTGTGGAACTCAGAAGCTTGTAACAAAATGTGTGATAATTGCTGTAAAGACATTTGTGAGTTCAGTTTTTTTTTTAAACCTTTATAGGCTAATATATATAGCTTGAACTACACAAAGGCAGCATTAGATCCCAAAATGGATTTGAAAGATTATACAAGGTGTGAATAGAATTTTCTAGATTCAAGAGTTTTGAAACAAAGGCAAATAAAAGGAAAGGCCATATGTATATTCATATTTTTTACATTGCTGTACCGACGGCTATATACTGCAAATTTTTTAAGAAATGAAGTTTAAATTCTTCTGAATAGAAATGCTATTTATATAAGGCTAACTTCATGATAATCTCTAATACTTTATAGTAACAGATTGAGAAGAGAAATTTAGTGCAAAATAGAGGCTATAGTGAATCATTTTTGATCCAGATAATGGCTGCTCATGAGACACTAATTTACCAGTGTTTTAGTACTGTATTTTAACTTTTTTTCATCCTGTGTGTGTTGTATTCGAAGAGCTAGTTCCTTACTGAGTTCTGATGCCTTGTTGGGTGGTTACTACAATTTTAACTTTGCAGCTAGAGAAACTTATGAGTTTATTAGACTATGTTATACTGACCAAATTAACAAGTCTGGTATATAAATTGGAGTACTAGTATCAAGTAATAGTTAGGAAGATCTGTCCAGGACATTCTTGTGTCTAAATCGGAATAGCTGTGAAGCCATACTAGTTTTCAGAATATTGCTTAATGAGCACACAGCAATTAAATATGCAGAACAGACTGTCCCATAAACACCTCTTAGTTTCTGCCATCATCATGTCTGGCAGAAACTCTTTGGTTCCTAGGGCATACCCAAAGGTCTTCTGATAACCAGGCTATTTTCTGTATATCACTGTAAATCCCACAATGTCTTACAGAGCTTAACCGTGGTTAGTGCCAGAGACTTAGGGAATTGGCCTAGTTTTAATGCAGAACACATTAACATATCAGTGTTTAGGGTGGTTTACATTTGATGACCTGTTTTTACACCAGTTTAACCACTTAGGATAGCCTGTCTTTGCCCTAATTTCTAAATCTCAATTGTCTGTTATCCTATCTCTTTCATTATAGCATTTGAAAGAAAGAATGTAACAACCTACTGCAGAGATCTAATCAAGATCCTGCAGCAGGCAGAGGAAATGAATGAAAAACTCACTCCACTGAAACTGATTGATTCTTGGACGGGCAAGGGTGCATCCAAACTGAGAGTAGCAGGTGTTGCTCCTCCGGAACTTCCTCGTGAGGACCTGGAGAAAATTATTGCACACTTTCTTCTGCAGCAGTATCTTAAGTATGTACAAAACCATTTCTTGTCCTTTCATGTTGTCTTTTTTTTTAAATAGCACACTATACTTTTTAAATTCATAGAATAAGTATATATTCTTCCAAAGAAATTACTTTGAAGAAAAACCCTAATTTGGATATATAACAATAAAAATTATAGCATACTCTATATAATTTTCTGTTACATTTAATTTTAGCAACATTTTGAGATGGGTAGAAGAGACATTCTCATCATCTTAATTTTAGAAATTAGGAAAGTAAGACTTTACAGATATTAGTTATATCTCAGTAGATCCATAAATAGGAGGTAAGTTAAACTTAAGAATAGAATGGTAGAATGTTCAAAATCAGTACCATAAAAATGACAGTTTATTCAATCACAAGAATCAAAAATTGGCCAAAAATGGATAGAATATTTTCCTCCACAAAACATGAGTCTTTCTCATTTTTATAACTGCAACGGAACAAATGGTTTTGCCATTGTTTCATGTGCACTTTAAACACTATACAAAATTTACCTAACAAATTTCCAACTTTAATTGATCACCATATTTCAAGAAAAGCACAAAACTAAAATACTTTCTATAAAATAATTGTATTTTATGGTGTTTCATTATTTCATATCAATATATTAAAATTATCACACTTAACGGTTATTTTTTATAAATTTCAGTTTTCTGTAACTCCCCAGAACCTTTCTGATTGTTGGCCTTTATCTTCTGCAGAGAAGACTACAGTTTTACAGCCTATGCCACCATTTCATATTTGAAAATAGGACCTAAAGCCAATCTTCTGAACAATGAGGCACATGTTATTACCATGCAAGTAAAGAAGTCCACGCAGAGCTATTTCAGGGTAACTGATGACTGTTAATTTTCAAATATTTTAAATATACATGAAAGCCTACTGGATGCTTTTTAACTAGTACTCTCCTAGGTCCAGTTGAACAAAAGAGGTAAGTCAGTGGTCTTGGAATCTGAGTAGGGAAGAGAGAATAAGATACCTTTGTTTTCTATATAGAAGAATTTAGACTTGCCTTTTAATACAGATAAGGGGTTTCCAACCTTTTGGAATGTGAAGACTCCATTTTAATTTTGATGCACTCTGCCCTCATATTGGTCATGATCAGTGTTGATTTAGAAGTCTGCCTCTGCGGCAGAGGTTGAAAACCAGTTACAAACTAAATACTACCAGTCTACAAAAGCATGCAATGTACAGTTGTGTCTAAGAACACTTTAGGCGTTCTTTAGGCTTTCTCTGATGGCATAGTCTCTTCTATTCAAGATGGAGCTCATACCTGAGTACTACTGTGAAGATTAAAAAAAAACCAGACCACTAGACACTTAAAGATCTGATATAGAAGAGCAATTGAGATTTTTAACCTTGTGAGAAAAACAGCTGAATTGTCATCAGTGTTTGCTTTATTGTTTTATAGATTGAGTCATCTCAAATTTGTCATTCTGAAGAAGCTAATAAAAAGAGGGAAGAAAAAAATTCAGGTAACTTCCAGAAGAAGTCCGCAAACATGCCTCAGCAATCTAAGAATACAGGGGCTAAGAAAAGAAAAATTGATGATGCATGAGACGAATGTTTCTAAATTTTACAAGAAAAATACAGTTTATGCATGTATGCACTATTTTTATAGTTAATCAAGAGTTTAAATTTTAAGATAATTTCATTAATATTTAATACATGAGTAGCTATATTTTAAGAACTTCTAAAGTATTAGCGACTTGAGAATTTGAAACCTTTTGAAAATTTAAGAGCATGAATTGTATGAATTCACATATGAGGGAAAGTAAACTTTTTAAAATGTAAAAACCTTTAAATGTAAACTATTTAAGAGAATAAGTTCAGTTATCTTAAGCTCTTTATGCTTTGATATACCTAGTTGTATTTTTTTTCTTTTGACAGCAGTGTTATTATACTGAAAAATTTACATAGGCTCATCACAGAAAGCGAGTGATTTCATGTTATATCAGATGTGTAATGCAAACAAAAAAGGAATAAAGTATCAATACAAATAATATTAGCAAGTAAGATGGCTACTCTATTTAAGTCAAATAAAACTATAAGCTTAAAACCATAGCCTTATTTTGACATTTCACAATCAAAAGATGGCTCAGGTCTACTAGCCAGACCAAGTTAGGTTGTCGCCTAAATAGGTAACAACCTAGCTAAATTTGCTCCAAAGCTAAATCACAAATGAACGTGTCTAAGTTTAAAACATAGAAATGAATAAGTGGTCAGTTTTGTGTTAGAAAAAAATGTATTGATTTCATCTTTAGACTTTTATTTTTAAATACTTTTCCACAAAAATCATTATCATGTCTGTATTTTTAACTTCATTGAGGTCATCATTAAATCAGTGCAGTCATTTACTTTATTGACTTGACATTTTGTCTTATTTGAAACTTTATGATTCTTGAAATGTCCTTTTTAGTCAAAATAATCTTCTATATCAATATTTGGATCTAGTAGATCTTCTCCATATGATGAAAGATTCATCTGGTTTAATATTAAGTTTTCAAATGTTTCTTCTAAATCAGTTTCACCAATTAAGACAGCTCCCATCATTCGCCCATTTTGCATGACGACTTTGACATATTCTTGTCCTTTGGTACATCTCAGCATTAATTCATGATCTGAACCCAAGCTCTGTGCGTTATATTTTCCCAGCAATACAACCTATATATATGTAGGGATAAAAAAGTAATTTCAGTTGAGTACCAAAAAAGAAACATAATATGCAGTTATTTTGTGTTATCCTAGAATGGCCAGCAGAAAAATCTATTCACAAAACTTTACAGCTAAAAGTGCCATTGGGGAGGGTTCTAAAAAAAAACATTTGAGAGGCAAGCATTTATTCTACAGATGATAATATATAATCTATATGAACATTAAAAATATCTAGTGAATATACACATATGTAAGACTGGACTACATTAGCTTGGCATCATGATTTAAAGATTTAACAAGGAACTGAGAACTTCCAAGGTATGTGTGTATGTGTGCTTCTCCTTATCAGTAAAGTAGGAAGAAAAAACTTGCCTCACTAATGTAAAGAGGATTAAGTAAGATGATATGTGTGGGAAAGTACTTGGTTCATTCTTGAATTTGATGGCTATTAGTTCACCTCACAAAGAAATAATAAACCTCAAAAATTAGAAATGCACCAATTTGGAAGAGAGTCCCCCCGCCCCAAACTGTAAAACAGTATAGTGGGAAGGTGGGTAATGATTATCAGATGACTAGAAATTACAATTAGCAATAATACCAGGTACTGATTTGCAAAATATTAGAAAAGGTCATTTTTTGTAAAATGATTAAAACCATATAAAGATTTATTCAAATAAGAAATTATATGATCATAATTAGTTACAAAACTAACAAACAGAAAAAGGCATTAATTTGCTGATCTACCTTACCTTGTAGTTAAAAAATTTTGTTACGTGAGCAAAAAGTTCGAAGCTGAAATCCATATCAATAGAGTCTCCTAAAGTGGCTGCAGCCATGCACTTCGCCGCATACCATCCCATCTGTCTAGCCTGGGTCCACAGCCTCATCTGAAATGTTATGAAATATAATTTTTCATTATCATTACTTGAAAACATTATCAGCTTAACCTTGTAAAATTCCTTAAAGGGGTTCAATGTTGGACAGTCTAAGACTGGTTAGATCATCCTTTGCCATGGAAGCAATCACCAATCCTCACTAACTAAACTGATTTTGGTATTTGATAGTTCTGTCTAAATTACTGCCTCCAAATTTAAAAGATGACACCAACTTGTATTTTTTATTTTTCAATATAATTTCTATTAAAAATTACTAAAATATTTTAGGCCATCCCAGGTGAGAACATTTTAATTAACCAGTCCCCTCTTCAGAGTAACTTTCTCATCAGCATTAATACAGATGCCAAATTATTTGTTCCTTTTCTTAATCCTTACTTTCTGATGCTAGATAGTTAAGGTCTACTGTGCAATCTAATCGTAAGGGTCAGAGAGACAGAATATATCACTTATTGCCCAGCCCCAAGACATCATAACAAATTTCAACAACTGATTCTATGAAGTCATTTAAAATTCTTCTCTACAACAGTATTAATTTCTCCTGTATTGTATTTTTATTGTATTTCTTACAAAGTTTTGAGATTCCCTGGTGTAACAGAGCACTGGCCTTGGAAATCGGTAGGTTTGCATATCAACTCTTTTACATATTTATTTAACTTTTCTGAGCTTCAGTTTCGCATATACATAAGCATACACTACACTTCCTCCTTGGCTACTGGCAGAATTAAACAGGGTAGCCTATAATAAGCAATTAGTTTCTTTATACCCCATATGTTTAACTAATGCTGTCTTTTCTGTGTGCAAAAATAAAACCACATTCTTGGTTATAAGCTTCAAGCATTTCCAATAGAATAAAAGACAGATATATCTATCAATCTCTTCCCTGTAAACAGGTAGGTTTGATGAAGCAAGAGGTGGTCTATGGGAAGGGAGCAAAATAAACCAAGCATGATAAAACTAAAGAATGGCTAAAGGAAGTGGCCTGCACTATTATAGAGACACCTGTTTGTTTTTGGATATTTCTTTCCTATATCAGAGTATGATGCACTTTAAGAATATAATTTATCCTGGAGAAGTTAAAATGTTTAAAATAATCCTACTTGAGAGTGTGTGACAGATATGCCACAAAATGAAATAGGATGATTGGTTGTAGACAAAACTGAAAACAAGCTAGTTTGAAGCATTTAAGAAACAGGCTGAAAGACTTATTATTGATGTTATCTCTGCTGTACATAAACACAATAATGAAGCTGCCTCTTAAAACACATCCAGGTCTTTCACTACTTCACACTCCAAAGTCAATGTGAATAACAACCCTACCTGTGGAGCTGGTGTTTCACCAAGATGAGTGTTGATTGGTTCTTTTATCTCTAACATCTACCTGTGTCTCTACTCCTCCTAAGACAATCTCATTTACAGTCACTGAGTATCTTCCTCCAGTATTTTTGTTCCACTCTTAGGAAGTAGGCAACACTGTGAGGGCAGGAGGAAGTTTAGACCCAGTTGGCAACAGTTGTTAGGCTGAGGACAGCTGTTGACTAAAGGAACATTATTTTTCAGTAGTAATTCCCACAGGGAGAGAATAAGGCCATCAGGAACAGAATACTTCATGGCTTACAAACTTAGTAACCGTTTGTTTTTTTCATCTAAAGCTGTGCTATACAATATGGTAGCCACTAGCCACGTGTAGCTATTTAAACTTAAATTAATTGAAAGTAAAATTCAGTTCCTCAATCACATTAGCCACATTTCAAATGATCAGACACAGTAGCTACCTTACTACAGTAGTGCAGAAGTATAGAACATACCTGTCATCACAGAAAGTTTCATTGGACAGTGCTGATAAGCATCTGAGAATAAAATAAAAAGTAACAGCCCAGAACTCTTTTCAAAAGATATCTCTGGATATTCTATCACTATAATGATAAATTACCAAAAGAGAAAAAAACACTTTTTTTTTTTCAGTTACAAAAACTTCTAGGCTACTTTCCGTCTGAAAGCAGCAAAGTTGGAAAACCCGAAAGCTGGATTTGCTGGTAGCAACTCACTTTTTTTCAGATCGACTCTGATAGAAATTATGATCATGTATGCTGGTTTACCTGCTGCCAGACTGGGCTGGGTTGCCAAGATGCAGTACAAATGTCACCAGCAGCATAGATGTCGGGAAGGGACGTGTGCATATGATCATCTACTTTCAGGCCACCGTCTTCTCCTAGATCAAACTAAACAATGTTCCTCATAAGAATTTGTGGTAAGACAAATGAAACATGACTTTTCATTCTAAAGTAAAAGAACAAGTGAAATTTTTACACCTTGATATGCCAATCTGTAATAAGCAAGTGAAAAATAGGGGCAAAGTTTAGACAACTAAGCTGAATTACCAGGGAATCAAATACATACTATGGCAGAAAAACCCATAAGATTCTTAGATTTTTAACATTGAAACTATCCAATAACCATAATTATTCATAATTATAAGAATATTCCTCAGATTTTGTAAGCTTCAAATGCTAAAAAGCAAAAATTACAAGATGGTTTTCCTAAAAGAATCACTTTTAAGAATTCACAGGAGCAATCAGTCTTATCTACATCTAGATAAATTATATGCTGGGATGTCAACTGCTGAAGGACTTTACACCGTAAGAAAGTACTGCAAATCAAGATAAACTAAATTGTTTTCAGCCCTCTTACGTTATACTTTTGTGCTAAAACAATGAACAAGTATTCAAGCTTGAGAATTAGAAATATTAATAAATAATACTTTAGAAATATGCATAGTGGGACAAAAAATTTCACCTTACATTGTTGCCACAGAGAAAAGGTTCTATGTTTGGAGTAACTCCTGTAGCACTGACAATGAAATCGCAGCCATATATCTTTTCATTGGTCAATTCCACATATACAGGCCATATCTCTTAAAAAAAAAAAAAATCTAAAGTGAAATCCACCAATTGTCCATAAGCATTATGTTAATATAATGACTACAATGAAGAACAACAGACAAAGGAAAGCAGGAGATGACTTTAAAACAACATCCTTTAATTTATATAAGGTACATTTGCTAAAAGAATTTATAATCCAATGACATCTTGTTTGGGGTATATTTACGAAACTGTGGCATTAAAAACATTTTTCCTTCAAATTTAGACAAAAATTCTAACAGTAAACATAAATGATAATCATTTTATAAATTATTTATTTAAAAATATGGAGTATTCTTCACTGAGTTTAATCAAACTAGCTTACTGACTTCAGTTTTTTCTTTACTATTCAAATTCTAACACTCCTTTTTCCTATGGGAAAATTCAAAGGATTTTGAACAGTGGAATATCTCATATGCTAGGTTTGGCTGAGTATATGTCTCCAAATGACAGTATTTTTATAGGAGTGTGGAAGAGGAATTAGGAGATCTGAGTCTTAGTTCTAAATTGATAGATTTTCAATCTTTTTGATTTGGGGGAAGTCACTTTACCTCTGAGTGCATGAGATTTTTACATTTTATTTTAAATTTTATTAAATTTATTGGGGTGACACTGGTCAATAAAATTATATAGGTTTCAAGTGTACAATTCTATAATACATCATCTGTATACTGCACTGTGTTCAAATCAGATCACCTTCCGTCATCACATATTTGGCCCCTTTACCCTTTTCCACGTCTCCCCCACTGCCTTTGGTAACCATCATACTGCTGAGTTTTTGTATCGTTTGTTGCTTTCAGTTTTATATCCCACATGAGTGAAATCATATGGTTCTCAACTTTTTATTTTGCTTAGCATAATCTCAGAATCCATCCATGTTGTTGCAAATGGCAGTAGTTCATCTCTTCTTATGGCTGAGTAATAGTCCATTGTACATAAGTACTATATCTTCTTTACTTAATCATCTATCAAAGGACACTTCATTGTTTCCATTGTCTTGGCCACTGTGAATAATGCTGCAGTTAACACTGGGGTGCATTTATCTGTAGAGATAAATGTTTTCAATTTTGGAGGGTAGATACCCAGAAGAGGGATTGCTAGATCATATTCTAAGTCTATTCTTAATTTTTTGAGGAACCTCCATACTGTTTTCCATAGTGGCTGTATCAATTTACTTTCCCACTAGCAGTATATGAGGGTTCCTTTTTCCCCACAACCTCTCTAACACTTACTACTTGTCCTGTTGATTACAGCCATTCTAACAGGTGTGAGATGATATCTCACTGGGGTTTTGATTTGCATTTCCCTAATAGCTAGTGAAGTTGAGCATCTTTAAATATGTCTATTGGCCATTTGAATGTTTTCTTGGGAGAAGTATCTGTTCAGATTCTCTATTTTTTAATTAGATTGTTTTTTGTTGTTAAATTTTTTATATATTTTGGATATTAATCCATTATTGGATGTGTTGTTTGCAAATATTTGGTTGGCTGCCTCTTTGTTTTGTTGGTTTCTTTTGCTACACAGAAGCTTTTTAGTTTGATATAGTTCCATTCATTTATTTTTGCTTTTACTTCCCTTGTCTTTGAGATCATACTCATAAAATCCTAAGACCAAGGTCCATGAATATAGTACTTATGTTTTCTTCTCTGCAGCTTATTATTTCAAGTCTTTTATTTAGGTCTTTTTATTTTGGTGTATGGCGACAGACAGCAGCCTATTTTCATTCTTTTGCATGTCTTTCCAATTTCTCCTGCACCCCCATTTAATAAAGAGGCTTTTTTCCCTCCACTGTATGTTTTTGGCTTCTTTGCAGAAAATTATTTGCCCCTCTATATGTAGGTTTACTTCTGGGCTCTCAATTCTGTTCCACTGCAGGGGTGGGGTGGGAGAGGTGGTGTGTGTGTGTTTTTCTGCCAACACCATGCTGTTTTGATTACTGTAGCTTTATAGTATAATTTGAAGTCTTTTTTCTCAGGACTGCTTTGGCTATTTGGGGTCTTTTGTGGTTCCATACAAATCTGATGACTTTTTGTTCTATTTCTTTAAAAAATGCCATTGGGATTTTGATGGGGATTGCATTAAATTTGTATATTTCTTTGGGTAATATGGTTATTTTAACTATGTTGATTCTTCCAATCGATGAACACAGAGTATCTTTTCTGAGTCCTCTTCAATTTCTTTTAATAATGTCTTGTAGTTTTCAATTATAGGTCCTTCATATTCTTTGTTAAGTTTCCTACATATGAGTTAATTGCAATTGCAAAAGGAAGTTTTTTTTCATTTTTCTGAAATTTTATTTAGTCTACAGGAACACACTGGATTTTCGAACATTGATTTTGTATCCTGCAACTTTGTTTATTATTTTTTGGTGGAGTCTTTAGGGTTTTCTATATAAAGAGTTGTCTGCAAAAAGTGACAATTTTACTTCTCCATTCCCAATTTGGAGAGCATCAGGCTTTTTAGTTTTTGTTTTGTTTTGATCTGCAAGATATTCCAATTGATTCACAGGGTTATGATAAACCACAGTGAGTAAAGCTCTATACAATTTATTAGAAAACTGAAAAAGTAGTGAAAATGAAGTGACTTTTTATGTTTTTATTTTTACTTTTCAAGTTTTATATAGAAATCTGAAGATATTTTAAAATTAATAATATAGCAAGATTAAATTATGTTCCTTTTAAATAAGTAGTTAAATTTTTTTAAATTTTATTACTTACCTGTATCAGCTGTAACTGACTGATTATGATGGTCTCTTGGAAAAGTCAAGGATTTTTTCTTCAAAATTCTAAATTCTTTTTGAAGGTAGATTTTCTTTACTTCACACATGGTTTCAATGTGAATCTTATGAGAAAACTAAAAGAAATATTGATCACCATAATACTTAAAGATAGAATGACTTAGGTTACTGATGATGAAGAAAAGTTATAATACACTTACAGAAACATACAGAAAAAATAATTCTTATAATATAAATGAAAACACATTGGATGACCGAAAATAAGCCTCTCAATTTCTGTGTGAAAGGAACGAGAAGAAATTCATTCAGTACTGAAGACATCTAGCAGTTAAATTGGCAGGTAGCACCAAGGGCATGTTTTTTAGTGTAAGCCTCATTGAGAATTACGTGTATATTTTTTTAAAAAATTACAACTGTTATAGACTATAAAAACCTCTTGAGAGCAGGTCTATGGCAACTTATTGTTACATCACAGAATCTCAGTAAAGTGCCAGTTAGGTAGGAATTACTCAATAAAAGTTTATTGAACTAAACTGTTGAAGTTCTCAGGTTAAAATGCTATTAATCTTAGGATCTGAAGGTACAGAAAGAAACGATTTTTCATAATTTCCATCATAAAATTAGATATATCATGAAGCCAACCCCCACTTCCAACCTACTTAAGGCTGAGAAGAAACCATACATAGTAATAAGGACTGCATGTATGTCTTACAATATTTAAATATCACAGCCTTTTAACCACTATTTTTAAAAATCTAGTAAATAAAATGAGATAGTAAATGTATTTTATTTAGAATCCATATGATAACCTTTCAAATATTATAATGCATCTGAAGTGACCTCTGAGAAAAGATTAATTTAAAATAGGACAGGTGTATTCACTGTAGTCTGTGTGAGTGAAAAGAAAGCTGAGGGCCAGTTTTAGATGAATTTAATATTCGCCTGTATTTTGTGGGCAAAACTGGGCCAGGGGGCATTGAAGTCCTTTCCTAGCACTGCGGATTTTAAGTAAAGGGACACAGCAATTTTTTGAGTATATATTTATAACCATAACCAGTTTAACAAATGGTTCAAGAATTTAAAATTGCATTTAGACAATGTTTAATCAGTATATGAAAACATACCTCTTTTGTTCCTTTAAGATTCAAGCCTTCATGCCAGTCAGGCCCCAAGGCACTGCCTATATTATCAGCATTGGCTTTGGTTCCTGCTTCCTTTTTCTTTCCTGAAAAGATAAACTCAATTCAAAATCAAATGATATAAAAATTGCCAGGGGGAGAATCATGCTTGTGTTCTGCAGCTTTTAGGCAATGTAATGATTCTCATACGTACATACAGTATGACTAATCTAAGGCATGTATATTAATCCTTTTATTCATTATTTTAACATTTTGTATAGAGCTATAAAATGGACATGGATAATATTCTCAACAACTGTTGTATATAAACACACTCAAAGTGTTTTTGGAGGTTATATATACCGGTTAATATACAGGGTAAAAAAATTAAATACTGAAAATTTTCTCAATGGTTAGCACCTCCAAAACTACAAAATTCTTGACTTTTATAAGCCAAAAGTTAAAAAAAATAATAACAGCTTTTTTAAACTAAAAAACTGCGAGGCCTGTATTTGTTTTTAAACTCGTTGCATTTTTTAATAAAATTACCTTAGGTGTTGTCTAACTGTAGCATCTATTTACAAAGATGCAGATGGATCAGTTTATTTAATTCACTTTAAACTTGCAGTTTTAATTTTATATATCTTTCATAAAAATATATATACACACACATATACACATATCCTAGAAAATCTATAATGTCACATAAGGGTCTAGAAATATCTATATTCCTAGCTCCCAAACATAATATTTTGCTAAATTTTCTTACAGTCTTTTTTCCAATGGTTAAAAAACGTTTCATCTGTGTATTAATGAGCTAGATGCTATATTTACCTTCAGTTGTGTATCTGGTTCTTTTCTGTGCGATTTCAGCTTCTGGTTTTTCAGCAATAAGCTTAGAAGTCAAGAATTCAGCTGCTCCTGCATCGAAGAAAGTATTCCCAATAGCTTTATCTTTAATGGCCCAAATTACTTCACACCCTTCAATTTCATACCTAAAAGGAATATTAAAGTTACTTAGAGCAATTTCAAAAGTCTAAGTAGAAATCTTTGTATCTGCACATAACAGTTCTTTCCTAAGGCACGAATAAATCTTTTAAGGCAAACTCAGGAAGAATGATTATAAAGAGGAATGTAAACCTCTTTCAGGATAATAAGAGTTAAAGTAGAATCAATAATAAAAGAAATTTAATCATTTACTGAAAGAACATATAAGCGACAAATACATATACTGAACATCAGGCAAAATTTTATTACAATGAATATCATTTCAGTGTCCAATTTCTACAGCAGAGTTATTATTTAATGTCCCCCAAGGTTCTCAGGAGTGAGCAATGCTTTATCTAGTTATAGTGTAATCAATAATAGATGGGCACATAGGTGGTACATAGCTACCATAGAGAGAACAGCTGACTTCTTTGGTAACAAATATTTTATGTGCTCAAAGCACATTACAGAAGGAGATTGACAAAGGAGAGAAATGGGGTTATGTACTAAAATCTTAACTTTGTTATAAAGGAATCATTACCCTGCAATTAATTCCTCTGATCTCAGAAATTCCTAAGCCATCTAGCCAAAGAAAGATCCAGTTCACAGAAAAGTCAAGGACCTAAGAGGAAGAAAGGAAGGGACATGGTATATAGAAGCCACTTTCCATGACTGTTCATGAGGTAGCCGGCGCTCGTAGGCATCTGCTGTTTTACCTCTAGGGTTGGACACTGAGAATGTGATTCTCTTAATATTCATTTCACGTTATAATTCATGTTATTAATACCTGTTTTGGTACAACTGATGAATTGAGACAATCCCAGACAAACAGGATATATGATTATCCTAACTATACTAGGATTTTATTTGAACATGCTCTAGTAAAACGTATCGTATGTTATTTTTAACATTTCTTTATGGTATTGCCATCTTTATTTGAACATGTTCTAGTAATACGTATTCTATGTTATTTTTAACATTTCTTTAGGGTAGTGCCATCTTTATTTCACAGACTGATACGTGACACAGGTTATATGACTTTTTAAGACTAATCAATAAAGAGATGGTAGAAAAAAGGTTTAGTATATCTGACTCCAGGTCACCTAACTTCATGCTTTTTAGCATATGGTAAAGGAGCCCCTTGCATCATCCACTGGGTCTTTTGTTTTCTCTTGCTCTTCCATACCAGCAAAAAATATTTACAGTTACTAAGTTTCGGATTATTTTGGAGAACATTCTATCTATTTTATACTGCTCAGGTCATATAGCATTGCTGATGCTATATGGTAATCAATTTTATATTCCAATTTATATATAGGTACATAGTTATTATGAAATGCTTTCCTTAACTTTTAAATTGGGAATTTCTCTAATTACCACTTTCTGTATTTTAAAGTTACATAGCAGTATAACACATTTGAACATAGCTTAAAATATCTGATGCTTGACTAGCAGACCATAGTTAGAATAAGTGACCACAAGTAACTCCTATACATGCTTTACTTCACAGGACACTCTCTAAACCTCCTACCCTATGAATTATGTCCTCAGAAAGATGCGTAAGCATGAAGGTATCGCCACACGTAGGGGAAATACTGCTTTCATACTCTTAAAAAACACAACAAAGTATTAAAATTTTGTGAAATTACAAAAAACGATGTCTGAAAATGAAAAGATTAACCTATACTTGGAAAGAAGAAAAGAGATAATAACTGAAATAAAAGTATACTAAAGAAAATTAGTATTAGCCTTAGTGGAACACGGGGCTATTAAAGAACAGAAAAGGTTTGGATATATTATTTTTCATCAAGAAAAGATAAAGGCTTAATCATTCAGTGAACTTAAACTGACAGAATAGCACCATATGGGACCTTTCTTAAACTATCAGAGTTTACTGAATATAAAATTATGAATTTTATCCAATTATATATTCTTCAATCTCCAACCTAAAAAAAGGAACAGGATTAAACGCTGTGAGACTAAACATTTTTAAATGTAAGAAAGCATTTCATTGTAAATAATATAATAATAGTATTAAGTTATACTTTTGGTGATAGCTGATGGAGAAAATCTGTCATGCATACAATAGAATTTGAAGCCCCTCTTAAAATAAATCTGTGCCTCTTTCCTTTTTGCCCAGTTTGGTTTTGATACTCTAGTTTTTTCTCTACATTTCTCTGTACAGTGCCACGAACTTCATAATTACAATAACCATCACTCCTAGTACTCAGGCAATTTAAGAACTCTTACAGGCTTCCAATGGGATTTGCCATCTAAAAAAGGTGGGGGGGGGGGGCGGGGTAAAAGAC